CATGATTTCTTTATGATTTGAATTAATTCTTAGAAGTGTTTACAATCATATTTGGATAAAATGATTGAAAAAGAATAAAAAAGACCAAGCTCTTATTTTTGTGATAAGAATCACAATTAGCCACTATATATGCTATTGAATTCCAAAACCTTGCTTCTAATGTGGATTGGAATGACAAAGCCCATATCAATAAATTTTGATATGGACTAAAAGTTAATGTCAAAGATTTATTATTAATAATATAAAAATATTTTTTTTGAAATAATTTATTGATCAAGTTATTACATGTAATAATTGAATTTTTAAAAAAATATCAAGAACAAAGATTTGATTGGAGAAGAACAAGTCAAGTAATCAATTCAAATTGATATAGTACATTTTGAACCTTTCATTGAGTAAAAAATGACTTGATATTATCAAAAGCATTTGTACTTATATTATGGAGTAGCTAAGCATATTGCTCAATATTATCCAAAGAAGCAAGGTAATTACAAAATGAAGAGCATGGTTGCCAAAGAAGACAATGTGTAAGAAAACAATTTTTTCCAACTATAATAGGAATCATGTGGCTAAAATCATATAAAATACCTAATAAAGATTTTATTCTATTTTTAGATCTTTTATCTTATTTTATAATAGATATATATTTAAGACCTAAAAATCATAAAATATTTTTCTTATTAGATTCAAGAGCCTCAGCTTCTTTTATAGACAAAGACTTTGTCAAAAAAAATTATTATTAATCAAGAAAATTAAATCCATATATGTAGAAGTCATAGATGGTTGTTTGTTATCTTTAAGAGAGATTATTTATAAGACTATTCTTTTAAATGTAGCAATTAAAGATCATAATAGTGTAGTAATATTTAATATAATAAGATCTCCCTTCAATTTGATTATTTTAGGATTATCATGGTTAAACTGCTTTTCAAACTAGGTATGGACATTTCAAATATAATGTCATGCCTTTTGGACTTACAAACATACCAACTGCTTTTCAACATCTTACAAATGATTTTACTGTCTACTATTTAGAAAACATTCTAATCTACTCTAAGAATACAAAAAAATATAAACTTCATATTTGTCTTGTGTTACAAAAACTTAGAGATCTAGGATTATATGCTAAGATGGAAAAGTATATATTCTACACTATTCAAGTTGACTTTCTAGAGTACATTATTCCCAACAAAGGGCTAATGATAGATTTGAAGAAGGTCCAAATTATCATAGATTGGAAGATTTTATGAATAGTAAAAAATATACAATATTTTTTAAACTTTTGCAATTATTATTAGATCTTTATTAAGAACTTTTATCAAGTTGTAGCCCCACTTACATGTTTAAATTATAAAGAAAACTTCAATAGAATTAAGAAGCCAAAGCATTATTTGATACTTTAAAAAAATTCTTGTTATGATTACAAACAACTTGTTGAATACTTATTTGACATGGCCTTTGACCAATAGGAATAAATATCTTTATTTTTAGCCTTCATCCATCCATATTTTACTTTCATTCTTCCAAATAAGCTTCTTAGAGGTTTGAATCTTCATCTTTAAGTCCTAATCTTTTCCTTAAATTTTATATTAAATATATAAATCTTAGATGTTTTAAATACTATAATCAACATAAATAAACTTCAAAATAAATTTTCTTACATCAACTTTTATTAAATTAATCTATTAACCATTCTAAAGTATTTTAATATTTATAAATGTATTGTTTATTTCAATTGATTTTTACATATTATAAATAATTATAATATAACATTGTGTATATAGATTATAAGAACCTCAAGTACTTGATGATGGCACATGGGGTGAATAGTTGTCAGGATTATTGAAACATGTCATTATCAAGATTTAATTTTAAGATCATATATCAATCTAGAAAATAATAAGGTTTGTCAAATGAACTTTCTAGACATTCTTATCTTATAGTAAAAGAGGAAGATGTAGCTTTTGATCAATAAAGAACAATTTTCTTGAGGCTTAAGCAATTTTACCTTTGAACAATAAAATCAATATTAACTATTGATTCAACTTTTATTAAGCAAATTCAATTAAATATGTTTTGTTATTCTCTTGTTTATGATATCAAGAATATTTCTTCTAAGTTTCATGAAACTTTTAATTTTGAGTTCAAAAACAACCTACTGTATTTTAAAAGTCACCTATATATTCCAAAAATAAAAGTATGTTTTTGTGTTTTTTAAGCACATCATGACTTTTCAGCAGTAGGACATTTTAGATACAACAAGACTTTGGAGCTTTTATCTAGAGATTCTTGATAATCACAAATTTAAAAGATTGTGAAAGACTTTGTATAATCATGTGATGTTTGTTCAAGGTCAAAAATTCTTCATTATCAATCCTATGGACTTCTCCAACCATTGCCTATAATGGAACAACCATGATTTTTTATTTCTATGGATTTTATTATGGATCTTTTAAGTTCAAGTTTATATGACTCTATATTTGTGATTGTAGATAGCTTCACTAAAATGGCACATTTTGCATCATATATAAAATCTATTTTAGGTGAAGATACAACTAAGCTTTTCTTTAAGAACATCCATTGCTATTATGGATTGCCAAAAGATATTATATCAAATAGAAGGACACAATTTGTATCAAGCTTTCGGAGAATCCTTTTTAAGATATTGAAGGTAGATATAAAACAATCTTTGATCTTTCATCTTTAAATTGATGGACAAACAAAATGGTGAATTAAATTCTAGAGCAGTATTTGAGGTGTACCATCAACTATTATTAAGATAATTGAACAACTCTTTTGCCATTGGCAGAGTTTACGTACAATAATTTGATTTTTTTTTACTCAATAATTATTATTTATTTTTATTTTTATTTTTACCAATTATGATTATCATCCATGATTTAACATTTTTTACTTTTCAAATTTGATAATCTTGTAGTAAAATTTTTGGCAAATCATTTCGCAAAGCTATATATAATAATAAATGCACAATTAAAAGAAGCTTAAGAATGATAAAAAATTCAGTATAAATGCTTATTGCAAGAAATAACCACATTTCAATGTGGGTGAAAAGATATGAATACTTTGTGGCAATATTAAGACTATTCATCATTGTGACAAGTTAGAATATTGTAGGCTTAGAACTTTTCTTATTTGTGAATAAATCAATCTTCTTACTTATCTATTATATCTACCAAAGTCTATGAAGATCCATCCTATATTTCATATATCTCTTCTTGAGCTATGTAAGACATTGAATATCTCGAAAAGAAGACAAATACCACCTCTTCTTATAGAAATAGATAAGAATTAAGAGTTCAAGATGGAAGTCTTAGATTCAAGGCACCACCAAAATAGATTAAAATATCTTCTTCATTGGTGTAATATGATATTAGTGAATGCATATGGAAGTCAACAATAAATCTTGCAAAAGTAGTAAAGAGAGTTGAGATTTTTTATTGATGACATACATCAAAATGAAGATGAAGAAAAGCAAGATCCATAAAAGATAATAACCGCTTCTTGTGGAACTTGTCTCTAGAAAGAAAAGTAATGTCATCGATATATGTATTTACTCTAATAATTACTTATATGATTAGATAGAAGTAGGTAAAAGTAAATTAATTTTGTGATATCTTCTAGAGAAGCTTTCTAAAACCTTCATGATGTAATTTTGACTTTACACATGTTTGTAATTGATTGGTAGGTTAAAAACTTGGTCAAGAAGTTAATTACATATCATATGTATTGGTACCTTGTGGAATAAGCTAACTATGTAGTATACATATAGAAAACTTGCCTTATAAATTAAGATATGTGTCTTGCAAAGTCAACATGTGTTGGAGGTCCTATAGAATATCATCACATAGCTCCTAGTTAAATAATATATATGGAGGGAAGAATAAAACCTTCTTCACTCTTGTCAATGCTTTTTTAGTCTTAAATCTTGTTGCAAAACTTTTTAGTCTTTTTATTTTTAACAATAGCCAATCTAGTTCAATATATTACTATCTTTGAGTGATTTCTTAGTCTTTTTGAGTGACACAAGAGTGTATTGAGATTCTCCTTCTTTGAGATTTATGTCCTTGACACTTACATGATTTATTTATAGCTTAGTGTTTTTATTACTTATAATTTATAATTTAGTGTCTTTACTTTAAATGTTTGAACTTTAGATTTGCAATTCTAAACAAGATCATAGAATTATTGAAGAAAATTTATTACAAAGAAGTACTACTTGCGGTTAATGGATTTGCAACACAATAAAGCTATTGCATGAATTTGAATTTAAAATAAGACATGTTTGTAATTATAAGTAATTTAATTTATTAGATAAAAGTAAGATGTCCAATACAAGATTAGAAACAAAATAAGAAATGGATATCTTATCTAAATATTATGTCTACATAAATGTGACACATATGATTGGTGCTAGATAATCGTAAATAAGATTTTAAAAGTATTATTAGTCATAAGTATTATGAATTACAACTTATAAGATTACTATTTGTAAAGAATGTTTAGACAATAATGCCATAAAATTTTCTTAGGTTATGACATAGAATAATATTAGCTTGATATATAGAATATAACAAGATACTACACCCTAAACAAGTTTGTTAGATGAATTATGTTGTGCAATATGTTGCATGCAACAATAATGGAATAAGTAACATTGATTGAATAATATACATATTATTATTTTTGCATAGGTGGAATACACAATGACAATTGAAGAGCAATGGTAAAATTGATGAATGTTGCAACACCACCTTAGCAATCAAAAACATTTGTCCATGTACAGACAAATCAGACTGTCTTTGCTTAGTTATCATACAAATCTTGAGAACAGTCTGTTGTCTCCATGAACTTTTTTTTGTCTTGGTCAACATCTGTACAGGCCCCAAAATTTGATGAAGATAGCCAACGGAATGGACACAGAGCAATAATTTTTTAGAAATAGTAGCAGTGTATCATATGGGAAACAACACGGTATAGCATTTAGAATCATAAACAACACACCATTTGCAGTTTAGAAATTCAAATATTTGCACAAGACAGAACACTCAGCTCTGAAAGGATTTGATTACACTACTGCGCTACGAATTTCCAACCATACTCAATTTAATGAAAATAGCCATAATTTCCAAACTTGATCAGTTCTCAAGTGGAGGTCAATAGCCTACATGTCAGACGTTGAAGGTCCAGCTAGAGCTGAAGGGATGTTCTAAGTAAAAACCACTAGCACAGTTCTATCACACAGTTTAAGCATAGTCGATGCAGGTTTACAAGGTCTCTCCCGGTGGCAGCTCGGCAAGCTTGGGAGGAACACCCAGAACACGTTCCATGTCGTATCGCACTTCAATACTTCGGATACTGTAGCCTACTACCATCAGCCAGTAAAGTATCCTTGCTAATTCAGCTGTAGTGGTTTGTGTTGCTGTCTTCTGCTCCAAACATGAAATAACGTAGACAGCATGTGAGCATGAAATCTCAGTTCAATGAGGAGACTGAATACACATTCTGGGGATGTAATAGTCATCTCTACAAAGGAATCCTCTGGAATACTACTCAAAACAGCGCGTTAGTGATCCACTAAAACCACGTGGTAAGAAGTGTTCATAAAAAATAAAATAAAATAAAATAAAATAAAAAAGTCTTGGGTATGTGTCAAAAATTAAGGCAAAATACTGTCTTTTTGACACGAGATGACACTCAGCACGAAATAATGTAGTGCCTAACCTTCAGCTGGTCTGGTTCAGCAACTCCAATCAAGCGGGTTATAAAAGTATTCATTGCCTCAAGTGCATCTTCTCCGGCACTTGTTGTCAGCTCCTGATTATGCAAACAACACAAGCTTGGCAATCAGCTGAGAAACATGCAACACACATTACAGTGCCAAGAAGTCTGACTTTGTTCCAATGCCCTTTACGAGTGGACCAAGTTGCTCATGCTATTGGAAATCCCAATCAATTATATCCAATTCAATGGATGCATGCAAGTGAACGTCACTCAGCTAAGCTAGATACATCAATGTTCAGAGATAATATCAGAAGATAACCTGCAAATTCTGAGGTTGCAAAGACTTCAAGTACTCCAAAAGTTCATTTTTGCCCCGCCCTCTCAATTCAAGCTGTTTCCTCAGCTGCTCGACTTCGTTTTCGAGCAACTCGATGTACTCAACTGCATCCACACTCTCTGGCCTTTCTTCGTCCTTATGCCATCTCAACACCTCTCCACTCACCGTTGATTTTTGAGTTCCTGGTGCATACCTGGAGTCGGTCTAAACAACACGAGTCACCGAGTTGCCGTGCTAAATTAAGGACAAGAGCGACCTTTTACATATCAGCGGTATCATAGAGGATGATAACACAACACCGAATCAGCATATTGTAGAAACAACCTACCAGAGCATTGCTTGCAACCGGAGGAGCGACCTGGTTCAAGCTCTGCTGCAATTCTAGTCGATACTGGGCATTCCTGAACATGTATCCAGTCATCATCACGCTGTACATGAGCTGCGCCAGATTCTCGGCTATCTGCAGAGTATTGTAACCCAGCAAACTCCTCTTAGAACCAGAAAACAACAGCTTCGTGCATGTGCATATGTGACTAGATTTAATGTGCATACCTTGCCATAAGCTTCTCATTTAGTTATCGTCCTCAAGGGGCAGGCCGTATCTTTCCGACATTAAAACACGTTGAACCAAACACATAATTCTTGAAAATTAGTCCCCGTACTAGAGTCTTCTGTACGATTAGCTTTGTTATTCTAATAATAGCATAGTCTAATTCGATAAAATAAATACTCAGTCATCAGTAGAAATTTGTAGGATCTCCTAGATGCACCATTCAAGGCATGTTCTTCTAACTTTACTCAGATGTTGGAGCACACAAGATTGCCAACTGTATCCACCTCAACTACAAGCTCAGAGAAAGGTAGTTTGAAGGTAATTGCGTGCGAAGCTTAACTGTAGAAACATGAATATTGAAAAATTGCGGTGGGAGAGAACCCAGCATATTGGTCACAGTTTGCCGCATGGCATCCACTACCTGTCAGCAACTTCAAAAATAGATTGTATGAATGAAAAACTCGTACTGGAGACTTCGAACGTGACTCGAAAAATGCAAACTGCCGATTCAAACTCCAAAGTCACTTCTCCCTCTCAAGAGGATCCATAAGCTGCTTAAATGAAGTCTAGTATGACACTGAGACATGCAATGAAGTCTGCAATGTATTGCTGTAAACAAAGATGCACGCATGAACTCTAGCAGAATAAGAATACAAGCTGGAGAGCAAAATATCAAAATACGTAAGAATGAGAGAACATTCTCAGGCAAGCAAGTAGTGCAGTCCAAAAACCCCACACAAGAAAAAGCCTACCTGAGCGGGGGCTTTTTGAACGAAGCGCTCCATAAAATCGGGTTGCACATTCTTCACATACTCAAGAAGTACGTCTCTCCGGTTCTGGAACTGCAATCAATTGACAAACTCAAGCCACACACATTCAGTATCCCTCCCAAAAAAACCCTGAGCTTTTCACGAAAGCGAATGCAGCAACCTCACAACCACAAAAAAAAGTATTCCATCAATCTCCTCCAGCTACTCCACACCTCAACAACACTCCCAATTCCCGAGAATTGTCCCAAAATTCACAACCCCCAAATAAAAAGCACAAGCACTCACCGCCGCATCCACATTAGCAGCAGCGCCACCCTCCACCGGCGCCACCTCGTCCCCCCTACTCGCAGCTCCGTCCACGCTACCATTCTCCCCTCCTTCGTCATCCACCATAGCAGCCACCACCACCACTCTTCTCCGATTTACCTCTCGCATCCCCAACTTCGACACACCGCCCCCTACCACAACACATCCCAATTTCCCCCGCAGCTGCTGCTGCCGCATCCCCCACGGTCGCCACACACACAATCCTGACCCCGCGTTCGCCTGCGCGGCAGCTTGCGCTGCCGCGCAAATAGCTCCTTGCACGGCCACGGGCTGCGTAAGCGCCATGGCCACCATGCCTCCCCTTCACAAACCAAATCTCTCGCTCACTCTCTCTCAGTTCACAAGCTATAACGGCAGCATGCGAGAGAGTGTGAGAGAGAGAGAGAGTGCGGCGATGGCGTGAAGGCAAAAGAGGCGAAGTGCGGCGAAGGGGCAGAAAGAGGAAGAGGAATGGATAGAGAGGGAGTGGAGACTGGCGTGGTGCCCGTCCTGTGGTTTGTGCCTTGGGCTTTTTTTTCTCATCTACGTGGCACCTGGTTTCGTCCAATAAGAAACGTGGTTCCGGTTCTTGGCTCGGGTGACGTGGCGGTCCCCTCTAGTTGTGTTGCCACGTCGTCCACAGTCTTCTGCTCCACGTTTTTGTCCACCTCCAGTTGGCTTTTAGAAATTCTGTGTTTTGTTTTGATTAGTGTTGTGAACTTGATCGTTGTGAACCCAATTTTTTTTATTTTGTTGTGTACCTTTCTTTGGTTGTGTTTTTTGGATTTTGTTTCAGGAGATTTGGTTGTTGGTTGAATGAATGTTGGGTTTCGATGCAATGTACTCAAAATTTCAAGAATAAATTAAAAATTCTAGAACACGTTTTACCATTGCTTATTTAATGTGAGTATATCTAAAACCATTCATGAAAATCTGTAGTGTAAAACCCTAGAATGAGAATAAAAGTCTATGATTAGTAACAAAAATGATAACAACATATATATACATGTTTTAGAATGCACACAATTATACTAACCATCAGAGTAACATTAGTTGATATTTGTAAGAATTGCACCTGTACGTAATTTATTATGTATTTCAGTGTTTATATTTGAACAAAAATGCACAAGATATCCTCCAAGACCTCTTCCAACTTTAACATATTCAAGATGTTTTGTTTGATAAGTGATTCAAAGAGAAGTTACTAAAAACAAGATGCACATGATGCCAACAGGACCACAAAGGCCAGCTGAATTGCAAATATCCTTGTGATGGAGTAATACAGGCATCATTAACTATCAAAAGCAGGTCTGAAAATAATTATTGCTGTACTAACGTGAATGAATAAGCTACCCAAGAATGGCATAAAACATTATGCCGCTTAAACTCTGGTTCATTTCACTAGGTGTGAACATTGACCAGAGCACCAATAACCGAAAGAAAATTGTCAGATCACCATGCATGCGTACATACGAAATAGGTTTTGAAAAGGGATTGGATTCCATGAACACGTAATAACAAACCAAAAATTGTCAGATGGTGACCATACTCTTTCACAGATACACAAACCATGACTGCACATCGCCAAAGCACGACTATCAGGGGGTATGCAACCATGATAACATGGCCCTGGACTTAGGATAATAAAGATACTCTAGGACCACTAAAGATCTAGGCAACTACAGATACAGATTTAACATTCAAATTTTTAAGGAAAAAAGGAAAAAAAAGGAAAAGGAGATAAAAAATAAAAAAATAAAAAAATAAACTGTCCTGGAGGCCCCAACTGACAGATATTAACAAATTGTTCTGCCAGGGCAGAAGGACCACACGACCTCCCCGAGAGTGAACATCGGCTAAGATGCCATCTTCAGAGCATGCACGAGCAATCAAGGCTGTGCGCTCACATCTCGTTCTGACCCAATTCTTATGTTCTAAAATCAATAACTGTCAGTCCTCATGCCAAACGTCATCAAACTGTCGATTTGATGGAGCCCAAATTCACACTCGATTCGCCCAATGGCCTGCCACCTTGCCAGCTTAAAGAACAAGGAAGAGGTGTCCTTCGGTGAAAAGAAAAGCCAAGAACCGCTCACCGTTAGGCTAGCTGGAGTCGTTCACAAAGAAAATTTGCCTGCGGGACTCCACCGGATGCCTGAGAGCTGTCTCAGTTTGACTGTACACAAATAAATAAATAAATAAATACTCGTGTATATATCAATCACCGCCACGTTGATTGCTTATATATTCCTACCCCTGAGTGGAGGTTCCATCCTCCCTCTGGTTCCTTCCGCTTCACTGGTGGAGGGAGCGGGGTATTGCTTGATGCTGCTACTTGGGCAAGAGTGGCACTAAAATCTGAGAACGGTGGCGCCCCTGGATGCAGCGGCGGTAATCTCCCGTGCAAGACATCCTCCCTCGTGCCCTCACTCTCACCTGCCTCAGGACCTGAGTTCAAGTCCAAACTAAGCCTGCTCCAGGCGTGTTCTGGTCCAACATTTCCTACGGGACCCATCTCTGTCATGCCCATCAAATATGGAGAAGTCATAGTCCCGGGGGTCACCAAGGGTTGGGAACTCATCGATGTAAAAGGGAGCGAATTAGGCATCTCACCGAATGGTGTGGACGTCACCGGAAAAGGAGCAGAAGATGAAAGAAAACCTGGAGAATTTCCTAGCATTGGATAAGGCACATGAGGCCCTCCAAATGTCATCCTTTCTGATCCAGGATACACCACTGTAGGGGGTGCGAACCCTAAACCACCAGCCCCGAACATCTCGCCACTGACACCACTTCCTGCGGCAGCAGAGGCTGGAAAAGGGCCAGCGCCAGCACTGGAGTTCAAAAATGAATGAGGAGCAGGCGCATTAGCAACTGCAAATCCCGAATGGGGAACAGCAACCCCAGGATTACCATTACCAGAAACAGTGAACGCCCACGGTGACAAGCTCATAGTATCACCACCTCCCATCCTCAGGCCTGTAAGTGTCATTACCGAGGACCCTACAATTCCAGCTGGAGGCTTTCGTAACATAAAGGGGTGTACGGCAGGCTCTTCACTACCACTCTCCTCCAACGATGGGCCGTCATTCAGATCAAAATCCATCGGCCTCCTCGGTGGTTGTGGTGGAGGTTGTGATTGCTGTTGTGTTGTGCTGTTGTTGCTCCGTGCCGACGAGCCAATCCCCTCCATAATTCCTCGCGGGTCTACAGACAAAGGCACGCAGTTATCTTCACTATCATCCATTCGATTCAAATCTAAGTCCAAGGTGGACCGCATAACGCCTTGTCCAATAGTAGGAGGGACTTGCCCTTGACTGCTCCGCAGCGGTCCACTGCCACCGTTAGAGAGGGGATACGCTGAACTAGAACTCTCCGGTTTCAAAAATGCCACACGTGAACTCTCTGGCTTTACGCAAGTTAAGCCTGACACCAAGCTAGATGGTACGGAATTGCTATGCAAAGACATCCCTAAGACTGAACCCTGAGAGGACAAGGTGGTTGCTGAAATCACAGCATCATGGGTGACCCTCTCATCCGCCACATTTAGGTCAAATTCCAAAAGCGGCCTGGCCCGCTTCTGCGAGATGGCCGTCATGGCTAGGCTCCCATCCGAGGCCATGCTTTCTCCATTAGAATTGAGCCTCTCGGGTGTACGACGAGGCTCTGCTGGACGGAAAGCACTAGTTGCCGCAGAACCTTTCCACCCACGATCTCCTTCAATCCTCAAAGGGCTCGCAGGAGGGATAAAAGCTCCTTTAGTGGCAACAAGGACAGCAATGGGAGCAGCAACTGCACTTGCTGAGGCTCCAGAAGCTATAGGATGGACCAAAGTAGAGGGCCCTGAAACAGGTAGAGGTGTGGCAGCGTCATCCTGAGGACTGTCATCTCCCATAAAACCCTCGTTCAAATCAAAAATAGGGCGCTCAGCCACCTCACTCCTTCCTACTGGACCTTCAACGGGACCACAACTTTCTACAGCTTGTTGTGGTGTGTTTGGATTTACCCCTCTTGAATCTTGTGGGCTAGTTTCCAGCGACACGTATGATTCCTGTGCTATGGGTGAAGAAGCAGAGACCACAACGCCCCTCTGCCCAGAAATTGACGCATCCGGCTCGTGACCCTCCAATGAACCAGCTGTAGCTTCTGCAGTGCCACCTATCTTATGTTCCGTGTCCTCTCTGGTATCATCGAAATGCATCCGCACGTTTATCTCAGAATAGCGCTGATCCAGGGTACTGGCCTTGGCATTTTTTGCATTGTCAAGTACCACAGAGGGCATTCTGTCCCTACCAGCTGCGTCGGCAACACCTAGATCTCTCGTTTCAGTTGCTGAAGAAATGCCCACGTGTCTATTCTCATGTGCATCTCTGTCCGATAATGAGCTAGATACAGGTTTTCCGTATTTTTCCATCTGCTCCACCTCGTCTGCAGCCTGCCTAGCGACTTCTAGTACGTCCTCCTCCGGGAACCCCAGGTCCGCGATTCGATGCGCATCAGACTCGCTTCTTCTCCCAAACAACTGACCTACTTCTTGACCTCTCTTTCTGCCCGGCCTTTCATCCTTCAGATGCTCTACAGATGCTACTCCAAAGGGAGACCTGAAATCTCCCAATCCGACGCCTATACCATTGCAGAGTTCAATAGCAGACTTGGAAACCATTGAGTGAGTGCGTGACAACCCCCTTTCTCCCGTCCTTGTCCCAAACTTACTACTAAGTTGCCCATCAAAACCAGCAGGCTTACTCTCCAGACCATTTATGTCTTTCACCTTATGCTCTTTCAAACAAGGATGATCCACCGTCAACTTTGCACTAGAGCTATCCATTCGTATCCCTTCCCCACTAGCCGCATCTCTACGCAAACTGTGCCTTTCCACAGTCTTCTCAGCTACAGCAGACTGCTCAGGTGCGACACTAGCAATCTGCTGTTCCTTTCGAACGCTCTTTCCATCTCCAGGACCGACACTTGGTGAGGGATCATGATCTGCGTAGCTTTGCGTTGCTCCTGTATCTTCATGTTTTGTCCTCTGAACAATGGCATCCATCCTCGTGTCTGCCTGACCTGTGCTGTCAACATTGTTAAGAAATTCTCCTCCCGACTCCTCAGCAGCAGCTGCAACGGTAGCTAACAAGCCCATTGCTCCATCGGCTGTATCCATGGGAGCAGGTCTTGACGGCCTTGCTGAGGGATTTGTAATTTCTGTGGCCTCATTTTGTTGCGACTTATCAAAATTAGCGGACGTTTGAAGTTCCGAAGCGCTTGGAGAAGAGCTTCTGCTAACATGATCATCATCCGTTCCACCGCTCGTCGGTGCAGGACTACGCGCAGGATTTGGTATTCGCACGATGAGGCGCTGCTGAGAACCTCCTGACTCCACATCTTTCTCTGCACCTCCCACTGGACTGCCTGCTTTCTCAGACGCTGTATTCTTACTCCAGACAGTAGGTTTATCAGAACCAGCCTCCTTCAAACCACCTGACGCATTTACTCCAGATTGCCCCAAGCTCGGCAGCCCTGAGCTACTACCACCAGATTTTCCAGAAACCACAACACCATTCTTAACCTCCTCTTTCCGAGGCGTGGTAGCGCTCTTCTCTGTTCCACTGACCAAATAATGCCCATTGCTAAGAGAATGACTCGAACAACTACTCTTCTCATCTTTTACCATGTCTGCATGCACATCAGAACCAAAATTCACTGCAGGAAGCTTTGAACTACTATCTTTACCAGCAGGTAGAGGAGGAGAACCAACTTTTCCAGATACTTCTGGGGTTTTAGCAGGACCATCTCCGCTGCTTGGACCATTCTGTACGTCTTTCGCATTACCTGCAGTGGCTACAGATGTTTTCACGACTACCTCAAGAGGACCCGACGAATCCTTCATTGATATATTATGAACTGGCTCAGATTGTGGCAGCTTACATGACGACCAAATCCCATTTCCTCCAGTCGGCTTTCCTTCACCTGACAGCTTCATTTCTGAATCCACACGCTTCTTCCAAACATCTACCAACTTTCTGGCCTTCTTCTGGATTTCCACGTTTTTGTGACCTCGCAAGTGATTCACAGATTTACCAACAACACATGTCTTCAACGCATTCAAATCTACAGGGAGCTTGTCCAGAGCTCGAAGAAGGCCTAACAGCAATTCCTCAACACTCTTGTCTCCTTCCCTCGGACTACCGACATCTCCTACTTTGCCTTTATGAGCTTCTTGTAACCATTCGTCAAGTAACCGTAATCCTCCTAATTTTAAGAACCCGGTGAGGCACTCTTCTTTCTCAGTTGCAGCAATTATATTTGCTAACTTGGTACGACGATTAGTAACATCTGCCACTTTCTTGCTACCATCATTCTGATCTTGCTGCATTTGCTGGACTAAAGATTCCACACCAGTCAAATCTACGAGGCCCCCATCCTTATCCAGATTAGTAATGATCTCTTCAGGCTTCATGCTGCGCTCGCGCTTCAAGGGACTGCCCTCTGCATCCTCAGGCTTCAAATTCCGTTCCCGCTTAGTGAGGTCAACATTTTGATCAGAACGTTCCCGTTTCTTGCACTTCCCAGCTGCTGAGTAGGAACCATTTTGCACGGATTCGCTCACACCTTTCAATAGTTGGACTGTTGCAGATCCTGTTAAATTCCTTGGAGAAGGCCCCCCTGTCTGTGTAGCTGCCTGCATCTCCAGCTTTGTTCTATCCAAGAGTTCATCTACCTCCTCCTGGTGTTCCTGAGGGTGACATAAAGTATCTACGTGCATGAGATAAAGGTTGGAACTGCCAAGAACAAGCACTCAGGTGCATCCAGGAGAAAAAGAATTCCCTCATAAACCGTCAAATAGGTAGCCTCTGCTAACTGATATAGCCGTTACATGTTCTGTTACATTTCTAGGCAGCGAGGTAGGGCATGCAGTTTAGAATGCTGGAAAACATGGCCAAAAACCTAAGGAGCAGACCGATCAATACAAACCCACATTGACACAAATAAGGACTACTTGACAAGCACCTGTACCAATGAGGGGCTAAAATAAATAAAAAAAATAAAAACAAGCTGCTCATGTCAAACCATCGACAAAAAAATGCTCCTTGAACACAGGTACTAAAACGTGCTCAATGTGCGACTTCACATGTTTTTATGCGAATGTAGATTAAGGTGAGCCTGCCAGGAAGCAGTCAGGTCTTAGAAAAGCACACAGTCGCTGGTAATACTACTTCAGATACCCATACTTTGCAACAGCGATCACCTTACGAAGAGAAATATAAAACTCACATTGGTGTAATCTCGATCTGAAAGCCAATACAAACGCTTGTTTGCGGTATCGTAGACTCTTCGACAGGCGAATCCAAAAGAAACTCCGGTAGGTACTTCAACTCCTTCCTGTAAAAATGCGACTCTACAAGGATGCAGCAGCGTCGCTTCTGGAATAACATCCCTGTGAAACGAGTAAAATATTTCGTTTGGCTCTGCTTCAGGCACTGATCCTTTAGCTAGCTTTATGTCCTTCTCTCGATACAACCAATTAACAGTCAATTTTACTTGGTCAACTGTCTCAAGGGTCACTTTACGTAATATCCCGATGAACGGGAGATCATTCCCTGACTGGAAAAGTGCGCAATCTCCAATGTTGAGAGCTCGTCCGTCCTGGGGAATTCACCAAAGCGCATCATAATTTAGTTTAAACTTGAACAGAGCGTCGTACAATGCAAAACATGTGGCGTAGCCGTGTACATGTACGGAAGTTATCCCAACCAATGCCTACTGCATTATGACACCGACAGCAACAGGGAGGTACATCCTCGTGACTCCGAGTCAAAAGTATGAAACATTTACGGCATTACATATTGAACTAGGTTCTGCAAAATAGCAGAATAATGTGCCAGAAGAGAAGCACCAACGTCGACATACTACTAGAACAGGCCGGTATCTTGTGAATACGTAACGGACACTACAAAAGAAACATTTCTCAGTAGCGACCAGACAATTTGTGCTTGCAATTGAAACTCGCAACAGGAACTAACGCACCTCTGCGTACCAGCAGGGGAGGAGCGACCAATGAAACCAGTGAAACTAAGCGAAAGCAAAGGCAAAGGTGAAGGCAACCCATCCTGAACATAATTAGAACAACTGACACTCAAAACGTCTAAATAACTAAAATTTGCTCGACTTTCGGAGCTTCTCCGAAGATAAACAAAGAATCAGCCAGGTTATAGAGCGAAGAGAAGCAGAAACAAAGAAAGCTTTACTCCGGCATACGTAATCAGAGCAAAACAAGGACGAGGCGTTACAGCAGTCGCTTTAAAAGAAGCCGACATCCGACGAGACTCTTCTTATAGACAAGTGCAAAGACACACTTCCATACACTCGTAAGCAACAAACACAACCAAAGGGCAAGACAACGAGACCCAGATCCACTGCAGACTACGCCCTCGAGCAAAATCTAGGAGATAAGATTCCAGGATGTAACTTCCTTTCAAGACACTGTTCACTTCGGGTGTGGCAGAGGCAGGTCACACAAACGCAACTTGCCGGCGCCCAACAACATATGACAATAAACGGCGAAAACCCGCTCTTAAATACACGACTAAACGCAGCTCACTGCCGTACAACACGGTGATAGGAAGATGCAGCCCCCAGTGACAACAGTCACCACGAGCAAAATTGCGCTTCTAAAAATGTTACTCCAACACAACCTTCTACCGAATGATAGTCTCAACAGCGACACCGAATAGTTGGAGGATGGGGTTTGCAATCATGATAAAATAGCAAGTAGCAACCTTAGTAAATACTCTTTGGTCGGCGGGGTTCTCAACAGATGAGCGTTGTGAGGGGGGAGAACACATGTGCTGCTCCTGATGCTGCTGCTGCTGCCTCTCCTCGTTTTGAGACTCATGCATGACATTTCCTCCTCTGATCTTAAGTTCCTCGATCCCTCTAATCCCGCCGTCCTTTCCTCCTCTCACCTCTCCGCTCTGCTTCACTTTTCCGTCACCCGCTACACCTTCTCCCTATCCTCTAAGCCCTCACGCGTGCTTCTTCTCCGCTCTAGGAAACAACCACCGGCCTCCAACATCAAAATCAACTCCACGTCGCCGCAACCACCACTTCCCTCTCATCACACTCTCCGCCCTTCCACCGCACAAGAACATATTCTACGCTGCTAAACCATGCCGCAGCACAGTCCCACTCCACTCCCAGATCCTCGCAGGCACGAGGCCACTGGTAGCCGCAGCCACCATATCCTACCAGAAATGGCCCTCACTCACGTCAAACAAATAACAACAAAACCAAAAATATATATATATATATATATATATATATACATATACAATATACTACATACTACCAAAACAACTACCAAAAATTTTACATCAACGGCGGCGAATTAGAAAATCCTCTCACAACCAGCACCGCAAGCTCGCGAGAAAAAATAAATAAAAAGGGCAATAGCAAAACCACCTTAACAGCGACGAGAGAAAGGTTGAGGAAGAAAAAACGCCATAGCCAGACAGACACACAGAGGGAAGGATAGAGAGAGCGAGAGCGATGGAGTGGTCAAAGGGGCACCGAAATCGCAGAAAGGAGCCCTCCGAGAAGCCAAATGCTCTCAATGCCCGCGGTGATCGAGTCCTGCCGGGTCTAGCCGGGTCCAGCTGGGCTGGGCGGGGCCGGGTTTGGTCGCCCCAAGTCAGGTGAGGTCGGATTTGGTCCTAGCCATCACACGGCCCGCGATCCAGGAGTCTCGGGGGGGGGGGGGGGGGGGGGGGGTAAGGGTGGAGTGGTGGTGATAGGGCTGGCAGCCAATTCAGGGTGCCACGGGCAGAGAGCCCTTTTAGAGAGGGCATTGTCAGTCAAACCTGGCTTCGAGGCAGGAAGCGGGTACGAGTTATAAATAGCATCCCCCACCCGGAAATGACGTTTTCTCTGTACTGGCGTGGGCTCCCACCTAATAATGAACCCCACCCCACTTCCCCTGCCCGCTGCCCCGGGCACCCTTGCCCCCCAAAAAAACATACAACTCCAGGACCCCTCTCCTTCTCCGCTTTGGTCCACAATTATTTGTTTTTTATGGATACACTTCTATTCTAGAGCCCCCAATTTGATGAACAAGACCTACTTCCGTGTTCTCGTTGGAATTTTGAACGTTTACCGTTGATTGGTTATGTATGTATCAGTGTGCGTGTTGTTTAAGGCCTATTTCATTGTGTTTAAGTTGTGCAAACTTTTTTTTGTAAACTTTTTATTTTTTTCAAATACAAAAGTTTTTGTAAAAATTATAAAAAATTATTGGTTTTGTTTCGTGTGCAAAATTGTGTGTCTCGGAGTAGTTCCTTTTTTTGGTTGTGTTGTGATGAGAATGCTATTTTAAAATCTTGCTAATTGTTTGTGTAGAAAGTGAATTGTTCCCTTTTCTTTTTCTTTTCTATGTCCATGATGTTTTTATCATATGGAAATTCTGATTATTTGACAGTAATATGGATGCATTTCAAGGTTTTTTTGACTTGCTACAATGTGACAACCACATCCAAAATTCATTGTCATGGGAACCAATCCATAATTTGACAATATATGGTTTCAACCAAAGTCTTTAAGAACAAATATTGACTAATAATGGTATTTAAAGTGATCCAAGATTGTTAGATATCGAGTATTGGATAATTAAGGGTCTTTATTCAAAAAATTTAAAAAAGCTATGAAATCCTCTATAATTCTGTTGCAATGTATCATAAATATAGATTTGATGTTTTGCATGATTCTTATGTTAATATAGCATACATACTATTCTACCAATCAAGTGTACAATTTGTAATATTACCATGAAAGACAAATTTTGAATATTTTTAATTACACTTTTTATAATTTTAAATCTATAAATTTTTTATTCAAAATGCTTGTTAAAATATCATTTATTATAACTTTTTTAATCAAGTAAGAGACTTTAGTATAGTGAAAAATAAATAAATGCCATGTAATGTCAAAATAATTAGATGATATGAGCATTCAATAATTTTGAATGTGCATTAAGTAAAGAGATTTTTAATATTTAATAGGTTGTGGGAGAGACATTATTCATTCATTATTCTTCTTTCACAATACTATATTATGAAAGAAGAATAAAAAATGGTAATTGTTGCAAAGAGCAATATAAAAAGCAGCAGTCTTTATCTTTACTTTCATGGTTTATAATACTTTTTTTTTTTTAGTTTAAAAAAATCAAAACATTTACAAAAAAAAGGTACTTTATACATGTAAATTAACATAAGTTTTTAATACAAAAGACAACTGTGCTTTTTTCTTAAAGTAGACAATAGTAGTAAAGAAATATCTTCACAAAGCAACTAAAATTTGTTATAAAATTGTACTATTTAAACATAAAAAATTGTATCTATGAGGAGAGAGATGACACTCAATTTGAAGTAGATGGAAGATAATAATTATTTGTAGTTCTAAAACCTTATGTGCAAATAAAATTTTGTATTCATATAAAGAAATAAACTATAAATATTAGAAACTTAAAACATAATAATACCACGTATAATATATTACAAATGGAGTATTTTTTGTGCACTAAATAAAAATAAAAATGGCGTATTTTAAATTGATGGCACACAATTGTTTTTGATTACTTGAAAGAAAGGTATAATTTACTTTATTATTTTTATTGTTTTTTTTCTTTGAAGAGGACATGTGATCCACAAGCACAGTAAATAACACCACAAAGTGCACATAAAGAATAAAAGTATAATGTCGTTTCAAAATATTGAACATGAATGAATAATGTCTCGACAAAATAAGTGACTGCTTCAGAAATTTATAATCTTTGAATGCGTTGGTCACAAATTATTACAAATAAAATCATGGTATCAAATTATTTTTTACCATGTGTAATGTGAGATCCTTAGAAATAGTGGTTGTCAAAATATATAAGTAGCCTTTTCAAATCAAAATCAAAATCAATCAGTATTTTTAAAATTAAAAACTTTATCAATTCTTACATACAAACCAGTTATAAAAAATAAAACCTCGAATGTTCTACCTTCTTTCTTTTAATTCTTTTTTGGAAGCTCAGGATATAGATTAAAGAAGAAAAGGTTAAAATTTGGAGGTTTTAAATTTAACTTATAATGTTTCATGGTTTAAAAATTAATGACCAGTGGTACTTTTGAAGCATTACAAATCAAAATATGTAAAAAGTTTCAAGGTTTCTTGTAGAAAAAACGTACCAATCATACGATTAGATTCATAATTTTTTTATCAATTTTTCGTGATCTTACATTTTTTCATACTCTTATATTCGAACCATAAAAATAAAAATAAGTTTTGATGTTAATTTTTTTAATGTATTGTAAAATTTTAAAATATAATAGATAACTATGATGGTTTCACATTTAATAAAACTACAATTTAGTGATGTATTTTATAGAAAATATGCATTATATTACTTTTAAATTTATTTTTCCTATCCTTGCTGTAATAGAGTTTATTTTCAATACCAAAGTAATGATTTTGACAATTTTGTAGTAAATTAATTAAAACAGTCTCTGTCAAAGATCCAAATGCCAAATTCTAAGAACTGCAAAAGTTTATCACCATAAAATTATCTGGACATTAATATAACTGAAATACAAATCTACAAGTTAAGAAATGTGTGTAAAAGATAAAGTTTTATCATTCTTTTTTGCACTGTGTTTGTGTAGTATCTTGGTCATTAACCAACGAATGATTGATTAATAAAGTGGTTTTCTACATCATTTGAGTTTGGGATAAAGAAATTGTATTCATAGAAACCATTGAATCCACAAAAAATCTTAATTGTTATGCCTTTTGCTTGAATCCACTATTTAAATCTTAGAAATAACAAAAATGGATTGAGGATAAAACATTCAATAACTATCCAATGTTATGGAAACGAACCCCAACAAACATGCAACATCATGCTTCCCAATTCAAGTAAGAAAAAAAAGAAAAAAAGAAAAAAAAGTGGTTAAACTTTTTGTTCTAGAACGACATGGTCATTAAAGTCATGCAACAGGTGAATGTTTCATATTTTATTCAAGTATTTATTTTGGGTTTTAATACGAAAAGACAAAAAAAAGAAAGAAAGAGATGTCACAAGTGGGGGAAACTAATAATAATAATAATGCTTTCGAAGCTGCCCGAGGGAATGGGCAAAAGGGATTGCCCTGCCCGTCCCAGAGCGGGCCAATGGGACGCGAAGGTGTCAACACAATTCCCACTGTAATATGTACTGAGGGCTAATTGAGGGGAACTGGAGCACCGTAGTGCGCAGCAATAGGGGGAAGATGTGAGGAGTACGTGTTCCCAGAACCTTAGGGTAGGGGAACTAAGTGGGGTTGCTGGGCTCAGGTGAGAAGGCCGCAAGGCAGGACATAGGAACGCAGGGGAACAGGGAATGGGAACAAATGCCGCGGCGACGAAGAGCGAGCGAGCGAGGGGAAGCAGGCGGCAGCGTGGTCGGGGACGAAAGCAGTGGGAGGAAGAAGCGATTCGAAGGCTATTCGGACCCGATGCATGTGATCGTAGGTCGACATTCTGGCACCAGTGTCGGATTTCGCAATATATTATTTATTATAATATTGGGACGGGACAGTTCACACCACCTTTTCGGCAATCGAACTTTAGCGCGGGGGGGGAGTGTCGCGATCTTTGTTGGTGTTTAGTACTCGGTTGGTAGCAGGGCGAGTTTTGGCGTAGGAATCTGGTGTAGTAGGTCCGAGAAGCCTTTGTCGCATGCTCCGGCCATCGCCACGAGTCGGTTTGTTCAAGTGGTTCGGAGGTTGTATGTAGTTGATTTTGCTTTTCCTAGGGTTTTGCTCGTGGTGTTGGTTTTTCTGCACGGGTCCTCTAATCCCTTGTTCGTTCTTCGTGATCGGAAGGCTAATGTAGTGATGTTTAGTTCTTTGAGATTAGCTCTCGTAGATTTCTTTCTTTATTTCTTTTGAAAGCAGATCCCAGGGTGCCCCTGCTGCGTAGGAAACCGAAGAATTCTCCTGCGCAAGCTGTGGTGGCCATGAAGTCCGTGACTAGCACATTTAGCACAGTTGTTTTGTTTGTTTGTTTTGTTTTGGATTCTATTTTTCCTGTAATGTTCAATGGTGCACACGTGTAGGGTCGATGTTTTTAAACAGTCAAAGTGCAGATTTACTCTGGTTTTTTTCCACATACGAATTGATTTATGCTTCATGAAAATCTGTGCCTCTGATTTCAATAAAGGCCAGCAGTGTCTAGAAAACTGTGCCGTTGTGGCCAACTTCTAGATTTATGAAGGAGTTTTAGTGGTCCTGCAATTGCTACGCCCGGGTGAAATTCGCTTTAAATTTATCTGACCGCCGGGGCCATTCTACCTGGACTCTAGCATTTGCTGCCCTTTATGGCGGTTTGTATATAATATGCTTTCATTTTGCTTTCGTGCGACTCCACGCGCATGATTAACATGTTTATATCTAGACTTCATTGACTTTACATGCACGGTCTTTGCATCAGTCTGTGTTTATCTGAAGTCGTTATTAGTTTGTCCTCAGTTGTTTTTGACGTATGCCATTTCTTGCGGCTGGTTTTTGCAAGGTTTTTGGCGAATTGAGCAGGAGGATAGCAGATTGGTTTACAAGTAGCCATGGCGACGCCAACAGATGGCCTTCCCGGGACAGAGATGACTAGCATCAGCTTTAGGGACCAACTATGGCTTAGTGCTTATCCTTTGGACCGAAACCTGGTGTTCGATTACTTCGCCTTGTCCCCGTTTTATGACCGCACTTGTAACAACGAGCAGCTGAGGATGGAGGCTATTCATCCTTTGGACATGACGCATCTCTCGTACGTGACTTGCTTTCCGACTTCCATTGTGCTTGTTCGAGTGCGGATGACGTTTATGATATCGGGATTCAAGTTCACTACTGCTTTTATTGGGAGGTCACAGAACTCGTTTAATTCCTGCGAAACTAAAGAATATATACTTCATTCCATTGGGTCTGTTGATAAGATATCATTATCTAATTTGTTGCAGGAAGAAAACAGGTATGGAGTACATATTACACGAGGCTCAGGAGCCGCACCTCTTTGTGATTCGCAAGCAGAAGCGTGATGGTCCTGAAAAAGTATCTGCACAAGCTGCATATTATGTTTTAGATGGTTCTATCTATCAGGCACCTCATCTCTACAACGTTATTGGCTCGCGTGTTGTAAGTTCTTGCCACGAAAGCCGCAATCAGCTATCAAAACGATGATGATGTCGTTGATGATGATGATGACGATGATGACGATGATGACGATGATAGAAAGTATTTTGTGGAGCTAAACGTGATGGACACTGCAGGTGCGATCATTGTATCATATTACGAACGCGTTCGCGCAAGCCTCGGCAAAATTGGAGAAGATTGGCACTGGTAGCTAGCTTTACGAGCCTACGTCTAATGTGCAGGCAGGCAGTCAATTTAGATTCATGGCGTAGGATGTTTAAACGAGAGTACTTCTGAACTAAAGCGAAAATGTGTTGTCAAAAACTTGAATGTAATCATTTTTATTGCTCTATTCTAGGAGTAGCTACTCCAATACGCTGATGTAACTTAGTAAAGACAACATTCTGAACTGTCACTTCGTCACACAAGAATACTTCTTCGATCCTATTGGCATATTGGTTTAATCCGACTTAGTTATGTCGGTATGACCCTTTGATCCTCTCTGGGTTTTTTTTTTTTTTTTTTTTTTTTTTTTTAATTTAATCTCAAGCCGCTTAGAAAGAAACATTGTTTTGTGATTATCCAGGTACGGATAATGAAAATGAGAAGGTAGTAGGCGAGGCCGATCCTGCTGATGTGCAAGTAAAGCAATCAACAACAAAGTTTGTGGATATGAAGGAAGTCATGCGCGTGGATTCAATTCTTGCAGGCATCATGCGCAAGGTAATGAATATGGACCCTGCTATAAACTCGACAAGAACAAGATATAATATGAGGGTTTAGACTCTTGTGAAATGGATACAAACTTTGAGCATTTCGCTTGCCGTATTTTAGGGTAGATCGTAATGTGCTTGTGATCAGGTTGTTATATGTTAAGATTTACCCGGCAATGAGAATACGATTTATTGAATTACCAATAGACTTGAGCTGCTTAATAGGTCCTGTTGCGAGTCAGTGAAACTGTTAGTTTGCTTTGACATGTCTAACCTCAACTGGGATCAACTCTGCAGTTGCCACCCGCTCCTCCTCCTCCTGCACCGCTGGTTCCAGTGAACAATGCGGCACCAGGAACAGAGACTGCTCAGACGCCGGCAGCTGCAGAGGTCAAGCAAGAACAGACTTCAGCAGGAGGAAAGCAATCAAACATTGAAGGGGGTGCCACAAAGAGATTAAAGATAGAAAGATACTAAAGTAGTCTCCAGTTGTGTGATTGGCACACCCCATCTTTGATCGTTACCATTGTGCATTATCGCCTGCTTCCAATTAAATTCCCGTTCATGAGATCATCTTTAAATTCAATTCCTTCAAACGAAGGAGAAATTTACTCAAGTTTGTTTAGAACTATCGTCCTTTAGGTACTTGATCTTTACATGAACAGGGTATGTACTTTTGAAACGGATCAACCTTGCCCCTCAATGCCGCCTATGGCCGCAAGTCCACATTTGAAATCGCTGAGGAGGATTGCTGAATGCACACTGCATTCTAAACGGTCTGCTGTGTTTTGAAAACGCCAGTAACTCGCAGGAGTTAATTGCGATGGAGGTGTGTTGGCAACGAGAACCATCGTTTGCAGTACTACATCAATTGGTATGTATCTCGATTCGATAAGCATAAAAGGTGTATACACACAGCTTTCTAAAGTGCACAAATAATTGCATGCAATTCCACATCAAACTCAACCCTGATTTCAAAAAAGAAGAAAAAAGGAATGCGAAAGCGATTGCAGAAACAGCGTTCCAGCAAGAGACTGGCACCTAAAGCCGTGCCCAGGCATCAACAGCCAGGTTAGGTCACAACGCAGAACTTCACATCTCATTCGGACTCGGGCACAGGTGGTGATCAACGGTCGAAGGGGAGGTAAGCCGGGCATAGGAGAGGGAGAGCGGTCATAGAGGGAGAGGACTCGGTCGTAGGGGTAGGGAGACGGGAATGAGTGACCGAGGGCTGTCATCCCCAGCAGGCGGGAGTGGTACCATTGTCACGCCGCAATCACTTTCCATGGAGAGATCTTCGATCTTTAGCGAGCGACGTGTCTCCTTCACCAGCTCCCGTGAGAAGGAAGAAGCTCGCCCTTGCGCAGAACAATCCTCTGTACACACAACACACAGTAAGTAATATTGAAGAAAACCCAGAAATGAGAAAAAGAAAAACGGAAAAAAGGAAAAAAGGAGCCCATCCTGAAACGCTGGCGGAGTTTTCATGACACAGAAGCAAAGGGGTGACGGATAACAGGAGCCTCAGGATATGGTGATTCTTCTGGCTTGCTTGGAAGGCCTCCTCCCTCCCTCTCCCTCTCCCTCCCTGTGCAATTTGCACCCCACAATAGCGTCGCTTGAGTCGTACTGCGACTGGAAATCGGTCGCTTGAATGCGTCTGAGAGGCTTTGGGAATTCGGTGGCCGCCTAGCCGAGGAGAGAGGATCGCAGCCATGGCAGGAGCTGTGCTCGCCTACTCTTCTTCCGTCTCAGCTCATCGCCTCCTACAGACTCCGGGTAAGAGATGAGAGCTTCTCCCACTCGGCTTCCGGCAATGTGTGGTGTTGCCGGCGTGCTTGTTTGGGTGTTCGAGGTTTGGACTATGGAAGTTGTGGTCTCCTGCGACATTCTGTTGCATGAATTGAGAAAGCAGGCTGAGCGGGAGGAGCATTGGGATAAGCTCGTTTCCAATGCCCGAGAGTGGTTCAACCGTTGATTCTTTTGTGGGCTTCGTGTACATGTCCCTACAGTCAGAAGTGGTGGTGTATTTTTGTTTGAATTTTTTGCAGGTTGCAGAAATTTACTCGAAGACAGGAGAGTACCTTTTCATTTGGCTCTTAGCTGATACTGTGAACTTTGCGTGGGTTGAGGTATATAAGTGCGGAGCTTCTTTGGTAGATGGAGCAGAAAGTAGAATGGTTTAGAGGAAGTTGGGCTTTGTGCAGACCTGTGGGTTTGGGGTTGGAACAAGCAAAATGTGCGACGCTCATCTGTAGTTGACGTAGTGAGGTTGTGTTAGTTGGAGTGGTAGGAGGCGAGGCTTTTTATTTTATTTTATTTTATTTTCTCGCCGTTGACCTTGCGAAAGTACATCTCTAAGGAGCTTGTTTTAACTGTCAGTTTGTGAGAAACTAGTGGCGTTTGTAAATCAGAAATTGAATTCAGAATGCGAATTACAATTCAGTTACGCACTCTAAGTTGTTCGACTGCCAGAAAGAAATGGGTCGTTTGTGTCTTCCTCTGTTCAGATTGTCTTGGCTGAACGATTCACACAAATTTAAGTTTTTCAGAGAGTGGCGGTGTTAGATTGTAGGCTATACAATCTCTTGTAGTGAATGGGAACAAACTGAGAGATTTTGAGTGTTGCTGCAGACACCGGTTGGCAGAATGAGATGCCTACACATCCCTTGGGGTTGGGATTATCGTCCCAGGATTTTAGGAAACGAAGTATCAAGAGGATCGTGTCCCGAGCATTGCCAAGCTGGAAGTATCAAGCCGGTAAGGAAAGCGTTGCTCTACAAAAGATCAACGTTGAATGTCAACCTTACGGAACTCCTCTTCACCGAAGAAATTTTGGGGCTAGATTTAGTGTTCAGCGGCCATTTACATGCAGGAGTCAGAACCCCCGAGGTGCTGACAACACAGACTTAGGCAACCTCCCAGACTCAAAGAACGTGAATAAAGAAGTCGAAAGCAATGGGCTGCCAGAGAAGATGGCCCCTAACTTGGCGGGCGCTGCAGCAACAAATGGAGCAACCGTTTCAGTGAATGGCAGCACCGGTATCCCTGAGGAGGAGGACGCCACAGCGAGTCTCACCTGGTGGGACAGCATTCCTCGGCGTTACATTATCGTGGGGCTGTGTTTTGTTGCCTTCCTTCTTTGCAATATGGACAGGGTGTGTGGCTTTTACCCCCTCTTGTATTCACGACGTACAAGCTAGACCATTTGTGTAATTACCTCTGAGATTCGTGGCTTATGCAATGATGGTAGGTGTTGCGGTGGCAATGCATGCTTTTCAGGTCTTAATTGCCTCTGTTTCAGAGTTAAATTCTCGAAAAATAATGTCCAGTTCATTTCCAGAGGCTCCCAAGACGGGGCTAATTTAGTAGTTTTCAAATTCGTCGTATTCACTGTTGAAGTTTATTATTTTTCCAACTACTAAACCCCTGTAGAAGAAATAAACTTTGGAGGAGATTTTAGAGTTTCATAACTGCATTTTCTCCTGCTAAAAATTACATTACCCGCATAATTGTGCGACTGAGAGAAACTCTACGGCGTGCGATCAGGTTAACATGAGTATCGCCATCTTGCCAATGTCAGCGGATTTTCAGTGGAGCCCCACAACCGTCGGCTTGGTCCAATCGTCTTTTTTCTGGGGTTACCTTCTAACTCAGGTATACTTCATCTACGCTTTGCACTTGCTTTTCACCTTTTTTTCTAATCAAATTAATAGAAGTGTTTTTTAGAACAAGTACATTTACAATTTACCAGCCAGCTTAGAAGTCCGACGATTCAGGTTGAAGAAACATAATTGTGGGGATCAAATCCTTGATGCGTGCGTATACTTTAGTGAAGGCTAAGTACGAAAATCTACAATTACATAATAAAGTGTCGGATGAACATCTGAGGTAACATACCGAATTATTAGGTGTTTTCTCTATCCAAGTTTTGGCTTCATTTCTGTAACTTAGAAAATCCTGTTATATGTCTGAGGTCTACATGATAGCTGTTCCTTTAGAGCATGAAATGATTAGTGTTTACAATCTTATGATTTTACCAACCTCTTGAGTTCAAGATAAGAACAATTTAATTTCTCCGGAGTGCGCTTGAATTACAGGTTAAACATGGTTTCTGTTGTTAGTTTGTTTCAAGAAGTACAAATGGTCTCGCAGATTGCCGGAGGAATTTGGGCAGATCGCATAGGTGGGAAGCAAGTCCTGGGCTTTGGTGTCATATGGTGGTCGGCTGCAACCATGCTTACACCAATTGCTGCTAAACTTGGGCTTCCTGCTCTTCTTTTCGTTCGAGCCTGCATGGGTGTTGGAGAGGTTAGTTACTTGTATCCTTGCATCTATGTTTTGCGAATCTTGTGCAATGAGCAATTTAGGACCGTTAAATCAGGATGAATGTAGTGTCTGGAGTCTACGTTGTGATCTTTGAAGTTTCTGTACGTTTTCAAAAAAGGGAAGGCAATTTGAACGTGGATTGATGAATCGTGTATTACTCTAGTCTAAGATTGAGAGTAAGCTATTCTGTGTTACCTCATTCCAATCTCATCCTTTTAAATCTTGATTTCTTGGACAGGGTGTTGCGATGCCTGCAATGAATAATTTGCTCTCACGCTGGGTGCCTGTTAAGGAGAGGAGCAGATCGTTAGCTTTAGTGTACAGTGGTATGTACTTGGGATCGGTAACTGGACTGGCATTTTCTCCTGGTCTGATCCACCGGTTTAATTGGCCGTCAGTTTTCTTTTCCTTTGGATCACTGGGAGCATTTTGGTTTGCTACCTGGCAGCAATTGGTAAGTTGGATGGACTCGTTTTAGGTTCGAATCGGATTCGAATAATTCGATTTCTTTTATTTGCTTGCAATATTCTCAGCATTAGCTCTGGCCAACATGGTCTTATGTTATGAAATGTCTTCGCTGTATTGTGAAATTTATTTGCTCTTTAAGGAACATATATTAATGTAGTTGGAAGTATTAACATTTTACATGATAGTTTATGCTGAGTTTGTAAGTAAAACTTCTGGATTACGTGATTGCTTAAGGAACTAAAAGTGAGTTTTTGTGTGATGGGAAATAGGCTTACAGCTCTCCTGCGGATGACCCGAAAATATCGGAAGAGGAGAAGAAATTAATTATGGGGGACACCGAACCTCAAGCTCCTGTTGACAACATTCCATGGAAACTATTATTGTCCAAAGCTCCTGTGTGGGCGCTTATTATATGCCACTTCTGTCATAATTGGGGAACATTTATCCTCCTTACTTGGATGCCCACATACTACAACCAGGTACAATATGCGTTGTATGATTTACGTCGAGAAGTACATAATTAATGTTTATTCTCTTTTTGATACTATTTTATTATTTGTAGCTTACATCATTTTATTTTTTGATTATTCAATATATGGTTACTGCTCTAGGGGTCTGTGATTCATTACGAGGAACTGCTTAATTTAGTTTGAAAAGTGCATACTATTACAGGTACTAGGTTTTAACCTGATGGAGTCGGGACTTTTCTCGGTATTGCCGTGGCTTACCATGGCCATATCTTCTAACGTTGGAGGATGGATTGCTGATACACTCGTTAGTCGCGGCGTTTCTGTAGGTCTAGTTCGAAAGGTACCCTAATCATGCTCCCTTACTCCTGTCGAAGTAGCTGCCAGCTACTTCATTTAACCTCGCTATTTAACTATTTCTTGCAGTCACTGATTCAATTACTTTCGAAGCAATGTAAAGTAGATGGTGATACTCAATACTGTTTCAAATAGTTTCAATACGTTCAATCCTAGCGCGAAATTACTTGCATTGATTCATTTGTGCCTAAGTCGACTGCAGATCATGCAAAGTATTGGATTCCTTGGCCCTGCGTTTTTCCTTTCGCAGCTCAGCCATGTCAAATCACCTGCAATGGCTGTTGCTTGCATGATGTGCTCACAGGCCTGTACTTCTTACTTTACTTAACTTTCTTTCTCGAGTTAGAATATATCCCTCACAACTTTAGTTTTTACAAGTGTTATCATTACTTCATCCAGGTTTACATAGTTTTCTGTTGCGTCCAGTGTTGGATGCTAGATTTCGATTCTGGGTAATCAATTAGTTCATGGTCATGGGCGAGTTGAGTGGCTGATTTCCTTTTGCTGGCACAGGGTTTCGACGCATTCTCGCAATCAGGCTTGTATTCTAACCACCAAGATATCGGACCACGATACTCAGTATGCCCTCTAAACAAATTGGGCAGTTATTATTGTTGATGCATTACTTAGTGCTCTTTTTCTGAAGTTGATATCATGAGAAGCAGGGATTTGTGTAGTATGAGTAAGCAGTAAATAACGATTCGACCTGATCATGAATTTCTTTTCTATGACACTTTGTTGCTGGTAAAAATGTTCCCATTGATTGGTTACAGTACTACGGTGTTAAAATTGTTCTGGTACTTACTGACAAAGTAAACTCTTTCCTGATGAACCAATGCAGGGTGTGTTGCTGGGTATGTCAAACACAGCAGGAGTTCTTGCTGGAGTCCTTGGTACGGCAGCGACTGGTTACATTCTACAGAACGGTAAGTATTAACATATATTGGTTGTCATGTACTAATAGTTGTACTGATAGTTGGGGGCTTTTCATTCCTGTCGAATTTAAGAACTTGGAATAGTAAGAAAGATATCAATACTCGGTTGAATACCTAGTCGTATGGTACGAATATAGAGAACAAGAATGATATCCTCATTCTAAGTAGGTCTTGTTGCTCAGTCCAACTTCATGGTCAGCGCGCAGAAGTTCTATGTAAGGTTGGTCTCTGCAAATTCTCTGTAATGAATTACCTGGAACTGGGGACGAGGTTAATTAACTCGAACTCTAGGTCGTCAAACTCACAGTTCTATGATTAATTCAAGTAAAGATAAGAGATTACTTTTTTGGGGTTGGAAGTGCTGAGGGTAGTGCCTAGCTTGGTTCACATGCATATGAGTTAGAGAACCAAACCGAAGACTAAGTCAGGAAAAGCTTCAAGAAAAAAGTACCGTTTGTTTGCAACTACAGCTTGGTCGATCCTGTGACTTGGAAAGAGAACACTTTACTAACGACTTATTCCGAGCTCAATGCAGGATCCTGGGACGACGTCTTCAAAGTTGCAGTGGCTCTTTACTTGATTGGGACCGTCATCTGGAACGTATTTTCATCTGGGGAGAAAATCTTTGATTAAGCCTGATGAGGGATCTCAAATCTACGACCGCTTCAAGAATATGTTACATTTATTTAAGAAACTGGATGTTGAATTTTGACCGCGTCACTTGTAATACTACTGCCAGCAATTGTGGATCACTCTTTGGGCGCTTCTATGGACTTGTAGACTCGATTTTGATTTTTAAAAGAAAAAAGAAAAAAGAAAAAAGAAAAAAAATTGCTTGGAGAAGTTCCATTTTGTGTATTTCTATTGATGTACTACTTAGATGTGGGAACTGGTGTACACTGGATGTTTGATTGTCCAACCAGCGAAATCAAACCTTGTTTAGAGTTCTTTAGATGGATAGGAATGTTGGAGAGCAGTTAACAATTCAAAAACATCATTTGAGTCAACATGGTTAGGGTTGTCAATTGACTGGTGCATTGCAATTGGCAAGCTTCCAATTCCGGATAGCAGCTTACATTTGCTTTAATTGCAGATACACTTTTTCGCAGATTCAAAGACTACTTTCCTTCAGAGTACTCGTTCTCAAAGTGTCTTTTGTATTAAAAGTCAGGATTTTTTAAGGTTTTGTCTAACATCCACTTTACAATTTGTATTTAATTGCATATGTATTTGAAATCTCTTATTGGCTCCAAACCTACAACATATCGTTACTACTATAAATGTGATTAAAAATTATCAAAAAACGCCAAAACGCTCGTCATTCAGGGTCTTGAGAGGTAGAGTTCCAGATTCTGAGATGGAAATTGATTACAATAAAGCAACTTTTCAAATTTTCATCGCATTCAATAGATTTGGTACTGTTCTGCCTTTTCAGTCACAGATCTCTGATAAGTCATATCCAAATTTGAACATAAAGTAGACACATGCCTTGCCCTCATGGACATAAATTTGAGCCCAACATGAGTGGAACACCTAGAGTACCTTTTTCATAAATAGCAATAGGAGACTCTATAGCCATGTTCAATTATTATAACACTTTATTGCCTACATTACAACCTGCAATGATTTCTGAACTCATCTTGCAATGGATATTCAACACCTGATACATGTGAAAAGAACTCCACCAGTGCTGGAGCTCAGATACATTTCTTGGCTGGGCCTTCTTAAGTTTACAATTGGTGTTGGTATGCGCTGGTGGTAAAGAATCTTGGATGGCACGACACCTTCTATTCAAGCTGCTGTCTACATACATTTGAAATTTAAGGTCAAGCTGATAGAATGAATACAACCCTTGGAAATATACTACACTGCCTACTAAAGTACAACTGCAATGGGATGCTCCAATGTTGCATCAAGTCTCAACCTTTCTATAAGCACAAAATAAAGAAGGTTATCTTAAAATCGTTGAATAACTAATTCTAAATAACTTTATAGTAAGATATTGAGCAAAAAGGGTTGAAAGGAGTACAACTCCATTTCCTCGGTTGAACAAAATGGTCAGGGAGCCGCGAAACGATGTGTACACTTGCATTTGGACCCATTCAGTCCCCTGCAAGCACAACTGCTTCGTTCAATTCGGAAGCTTTGGATTACTGAGCCTTCGTCACTGGATAACGGCGACGCTTTCACTTTATTCAAGCCTGGGAAGGATATGCCGCAATCGCAGAAAGAAGCAACTTAAAGCTACCGGAGAAACCTAGCATTCGAACATATACTGTAATGAGGTTGCCTAGAATCCTCATGAACTCTCTAACATGGGCAAATACAGATTATATGCAGTCCAGAGTCAAGACGGGCACTCCATAATTAGGAGAAGATAATTACTCGTACGAGACGACAGGAAATCTACAACTCAATTTTGATGAACTAAAAGCTATTGAGCAGGTCAAGAAAAATTAGAAGCAGCATTTACCCGCTGGCAGCCCATCTCCTTTTCCGAGCTGGTCTTTCCTGTTTAACCTCCACAGTATTTGCCTGAACCTCACTAACGTAAAAAGACCCACCTCGACCAGCTGGTATCTCCTCACTTGGTTTCTTTGGTCTCGGTTTCCCAAAGCGCTCTTTTCGACGTTCAAGCTTAGCTGTTACTTCCTCAGACTGCTGTACATGATCCTCCGCATCAGATAGCCGATTGGGGTTTTGTAAAGATAAATCTCTGTACTTGTTCCCTTTCATTGAAACCAAGCCGCTTCGAATTTCCTTTACCTTGGAATTGGCAGGTTCCTCACCTTCTGCGTCAGCGTTATTATAACGTTTGGCAGTACTACTCCTCTGCTGCCTATTCCTGTGCTCACTCCTGGAATTGTTCTCTACGTCCCGGTGAGGATTCTGATGCCTTCCTTGGTCCTGTTAAGATAAGATTGCATACGTTAAAGTAGCACGATAATTGCTTATATTTGAGTCCTGATACGATGAATAGTCATCATCAAATGTATTGTCTCGATCCCGGCGGCAAATATTCGAATAGTTGAAAAACATGAATCAAAATAACACCTGTAAATTTTCACTTGTGTGCTGATCAACATCTCGTGCATCGTTCGTCGCATCAGCCTCCCGTGCATGAGACTGCCGCCTGTGCCTTTTCTCATCTCCTGCTAATGTTGACGGGATTTCCCTTTCTTTCCGACTATTCCAACGTTCAATTTTACTACGATCTTGTCTCCCCTGCCCATCGTCTTCCCCTGAACTTGCTTCGTCTACTGCAGACTCACGCTCTGACTCTTTTATGAAGTGCGCAGACACATCTTCGTTCTCTAACCTTCGACTGATTGTCTGTGATCTTTTCGATACCGTAGAACCACGGTCCCCATATTGAACAATCTCTGAACCATGCTCCTGAATACATACTCCAGAGAAAAATTCAGCACGTGCACACCGACAAGGCTCAATAAAAAAATGTATAAAATACTAAACACAACAAGAGAGTTGCACCACATCTGAATAGAACCCATCTTTGCTGAGAAGACAGTCCTCGAAACTAGCCATACTTTGTCTTGCTGATAACTTAAATGATAACCATCTTTGTCCCGTCTACTTTCACTGTCGTGATGAGAACCCGATCGGACATTGTCTTTGTCTCTCTTCAGTTCACCGCAACCATGATGACTTCTCTCCTTGACAAGGGAATCATTACGCATAACATCAGCTTCCCTCTCCTCTGATCCATCACGCCTTCGCATCTGCATACGAGCATCATCTCCCGCCTCTCGACCATTTACCACTGATTTTCGATGCAAATCATTCCTTCGGTCTTCACCTTTTCTTCTGTCCTCTCTGCACAATTGTCCCGAGGAGTTAAATACAGATACCAGTGGTTTGGCTGTTGAGAGATTAGAGGCAAGTTTTAACCTTGTCAGTAAAACCTGAGATTCTAAGTTTTGAAAACGCATGATGAAACTATGATGAATCTTGTCCAAGCAAACTGCAACAATCTATTCGGTAATGAGCATGTTTCCAACTCAGCCGAAGAATAAGTATAGCAGTCTTACATGTGCCGACGGTTTCTTAGCTCCCTATCTCTGTTCTCTTCAGAGCGATCGACTGCCCTTGAGCATGCATCATCCCGGCGGTCTGGTCGATCCTCCCGCCGATATCTATCCCTATCCCTATCCCTGTGACGTTCCTCTTCTTGATCTATCTTCGAAATCTCCTCACGTGGACGACGTCTTTCTCTCTGATGAGACCTCGCTTCTTCCCGTCCTCGACTTCTTTCCCGATCTCTATCATAAGGCCTTAAGTCTTTCTCTTTATCTCCATGACGAGAACGATCTTCATTCTTTTTTTTTCCCACCCACGCTTTTTGACCTCGAAGATCAGCTGACCTTTGACGATGTCCAAATTCTTCTTGCTCTCTTCGCCAACCTCTCTCCTCCCTCTCCCCATCATAATCGGGCCTTCCACGCTTTCTAACTTCATCATTTCTTTCGTCCCCTCTGTCCTTCCGGAAATGACGAACTACATCGTGTTCTCGCCTCTCTCTCTCCCTCTCCCTGTCTCTGTCTCTGTCCCTGTCTTCACGGACTCTGCGATCATAAGCAGGCTCATCTTTCCCTCGATGACCTTGTGAACGTTCACTACTGTGCAAACCTTCTCGTTCATTATTTTCCGCAACCCGTCTCCTAGTCCCAGAATCGTCCCTATACTGATGATTCTCTGACGCATCGTTGTTCGTTGGTACTTTCTCATGTACATTCACAGCTTTCACTCTACTAGGCGCAGGTTCGTTGCTATTGCCTAAGCTTGAATCTGAAATTTCGTCAGAGGATGATGCACCTGATGAATTCAAATGACTAGTACCACCTCTCTTTGTACTAGAAGCAACTTTATTCCTCTTCACAGGTCTTAATTTGTCACCTAATTCTGAATCTTCACCTTCAGCGCCATCCTTAGATTTAGTCCTCTTGTAACCTCCAGAAACCTGCCCAAGTGAAGGCTCATCAGCACCTTTCTCAACTAGTACAGACCAGGACCTCGGCTCGAGCCTTGTATCCGCATCAAACTCACGACTGAGACTTCCTGGGTCTCTATTCCCATGAGTGCTATGATGTTCGTGTCCTGATCGATTTGCTCCACTCCCGTTGCTCAACTCTTCCTCCCATTCCCCGCCAGGAGGAGCCGCACGATTAGAATGTGCCAACCTCGGCGGTGTTCGGCGCCTGATACAACCAAATACATATTCAATCAACTTCACAATCCACCATCGTCATGCAAATACTCAGTGATGATGGAAATCCTGGCTATCAAGTGATCGTTATACAAGCATTACAAGCAAAGCATTACAGCCTTGGTTCGACAAACAGGCTGTGCATGGAAAGTTCATAAGACTTTAGTGCAACCACGACCTACCACTGAGGTTCTGTAAACCCAACAGGAGGTGGCTGTAAGGTAAAATGATCCGAAGGATAACCATCAGGTCCAGGGCCAGACATAGGTCCTCCTCCCATTCTTGGTCCCCCATACATAGGAGGTCTCACAGCTCCGCCCCTGAAGATCGCACAAAACGAGTTAGGATGAACTCCGACATTCCGGATGAACGTTGTTCAATATTTGATACAAATCTTCAATACTTCAAAATTCAGGCAAACGACTAGCAACAGTACAGGACATCATTCGGAGCTGCTGCGCACCTTTCGTATGGTGCCATTCCAAAAGGTCCAGGGAACATGCCAAAATCAGCCCCAGCACCAGGTGGATGCATGGGCATGCCAGGGCCTATAGGTCCGTGCCCTTCAACACCATGACGCATGGGGCCATGCATGTGTTCACCTGACATGTCCATCATATTCCCTTGATCCCAAGGCTCGTTATATGGGTAATAATCCATCCATGGTCTTGGCCCTCCATGTCCAAGATCACGGACATCCTCTTCGTGATGGTAATTCGAATACTGCTCCATATGCCTCCCACCTTTAGCCTCATCCTCTGTGTACTCCGTATCAAAATCAACACCTGTTGCTGGGTCTGGCTCATCTTCAGAAGCATCTTGCAAAACAATCTTCACAAAAAAAAAAAAAAAAGAAAAGAAAAGAAAAGAAAAAGCATAGCAGATGTGACTTCAATGACTGAAATATCAAAGTCCGCCTCAGTATCTCTAATAGACCATTTACAATTACACATGAAATAATTAGGCATAGGTTTCTTCTACAACCATCACCCAAAAAACTTGTGAACTCTTACGAAACATATCCAACATTCTAGCTGCTTCATGCAGTCTCAACAACGGAGATCATTAGACAAAAGGAATTATGAACAGAGCAGATGTATGAATGGAAAGGAATAGAAATAACTAAAAAGCTTCTCAGACTCATTCCACGAGATGGTAACGTGCTTTCTCACCTGAATAACAGCGTCGGAATCTCGTGTTCTCTGTCTACGAATATCGGCTGAAGGACGTCTTTCTCCCCCTCCCCCTTCAACCTGTATAGCCCGCCCTGTAGGCTGCAAAAAGAAAACAAGAAATAGTCTGAGTAAAAGCTTTGATTGGCTAGACCGTTTCTTTCAGAAACATGAGATTGTCAATACTCCATAGATGTCAAATGCCAAAGTCTCAGGATTTCGGTCTCAATAATTGAATAGGGAAACAAAAGAAGCGTACGAAGCAATTAATCGGATATAAAGCACTTATACCATGACAGGTCGACCTCGTCCTGCTCCACGCCCACGACAAGCTGAGTGACCGCCGTGGTCGGACTGACGCTGATGGTTGCCATTATCACCCGACGCATCTTGCAAACCTTGAGCTGCCATTAGCTCTGGTGGCAAATCTGGATCATACTCCTGTCTCAGTCATGAACCGTATAATTTGTCAAATGATCAAGAGACAAGTAACCGTTCCATACAATTATCTAGGATTCCTCTTCGGCAGATTCAATAGTAATGCATATTATATAATCCACACTGATGTGAGCTTGGAATTCAGCAAGTAGGACTCTCTGGAATTCAGGCACATCTCAAATAGTGCTACATTCGTTTCAATTAGTCCAAGTAGACGTAAAAACACTACATACACACAAAATGCCTACAGTCAAACTCGTTAAAACATTAGTACAGGAAATCACAGCAATCAAAGCATCAAAGACTTCAAACACTTACTCCCAAACATAATGTCCAACTATAGAGGCTACAATAAGCACCAACAGCTGCAAATATACCTGCTCTGTGCGCCCACTTTCATAAACTCGAATCTTACTTTGCATTGTTGCTTCTAATCGAACTTGTGACTGCAAAATTCATGTCCGGAAAGAACCCTTTAGTTAACCCAAAAGACTGCAATCGCCCCTTAAACCCCAAGATCCCGGACCTGCAAGGTTAGCGACCACGGATACACCCCACTTTATGGGTTAACACCTTAACTTCAACGAACTGTTGTATTCCACAGATCTTCACAAATCTAGCAGAAGTGAGTTGATGCATTTTATTTCCATGTTCGAAACACATCAAGCATGTCTGGAACTGTTCAATGCTTTGCTTGAGTAAGATGAAGTATCACAGAACACAATTTCAGAGAAATTGCCTGAAAAAACTCACTACAGGACAGAGAAACCTAGGGATAATGCTGATAAATAGACAAATAAAACCAGGGATATCAATAGAAGGGACTCTAAGGACGACCAAATGCAGAAAGCCCATGTGATTAAAAAGAAACCATTATAAAATACAAAATAAAAGAGTTAACGGAAATACCAGTTGTAGACAGTAATTTTTCCAGCTACTCTCGGTGAAGCCAAAATTAAAGTAGTCTGTAACATCCGCACCAGGGCGTTGCCAAGGCTTCTCTTCTAGTTCATCGAGGTCAATATCAAATACTGTCCTGTAACATTTGTACAACCATCAGAATAATAATCACTTAATACTCAACATAAATCACTTGTGTTTTGAATACTGATTACTAAAATAAACAAGACAAAAAATCAAAAAAAAAAAAAAAAACAAAAACAAAAACAAAACAAACAAACAAACAAACAAAAACAAAAACAGAGTCGTTTGAAAATCATCACCAATAACTAATAAACTTTAAGTTATCAGGTGATATGGCAGTAAAATAAAAAGTAAACAAAAACGTACTTCGTCGGAGGTAGAGTGAACTCCATGCCACCTGAGTATCCACGACCACCAGAACCGCCCCATGACGCGGAACCACTTTGTGAACCCCGTTGACCATTAGAACCACCACGCCCCCTACCTGCCCAATCTCCTTTCCCACCGTCCGCACCTCGGCCAGCTATCCAATCCACTCTCCCGGCACCTCTTTCACCTGGCTGGGGTTCTCCTGCCTGGCTAGATGCAGGTGCACCGGATGCTCCCGAGCCTGGTCTCACATACTGAAATTCGAAATAAACTTCAAAACCTTTTGCGGCAATAAAACGTGCCAAAGTAGCCTCATAATCGCCTCATAATCCAACACTAATCTACGCAGGTGCTGCCATTACTGAAACCAAGGTAAAGGATGAACCTTATATTGTGCATGATGAGGTTGCCCATTGTAGTAACCCTGACCACTATAGCCAATGCGAGGGCCAGCTAGATTTGGCCCTTGTCCACCAGGTTTAACCGGCGGCCCACGATCGTCACCACCTACATTCACAGAACATTAAATATAACGTGTCAGATTCCACTAGAACTAGGGTTTAGATACTTGGGTTATGGCATTTGGAGCTCTCATAAGTAAAACAGCGCTCACTTCATGTGTAAGCTAATTTAAGCACTGCAGTAAAATTCTACGCATGCAATTCGTCCTACAATTGAAACCATTTGCTAGACGACAACAGAGCCTGATTCTCACCCGATGTGACCCTCTCGAGTGCCCCCAGTGGACCTCCACTCGGAGGACCTGGAAGAGGTGGTTCTGACAGGAGCCCTCCTTCCTCTCCCCAGTTCTCTTGACCGTCACGAGGCTCATCCCCTGCCACAATTATGAGGTCTTCTTCGTCCTCGTCATCACTACCAACGTAAAATTCACTCTTCGCCTCAATTGTCGGATTGTCATAACCCAATGCGTCGTCGTTCAACACAATCTGTAGGCCGTCATCGCTATCACTGTCCCAATCCTCCCCTTCTCCAGCTACTGCTACTTTGGCTGCGGGCGCGCTCTCATCAGCTCTATCTCCTACTGCCACATCCTCGGCTTCGCGTAAACCAGTAGACCCGGATGGGGCAAGACCCGGCGCGACTACACTCTCTCCAACGCTTCTAGGGTTCTCGAAAGACGTCGAACCAGCATTCTCCTGTTGCACCCGACCAAGTCCCGCGTTGGCTCCTGCTTCAATTCCACCAGAATGCCCATTTCCCAATCCAGCTGCTGAGCCCGTTTCTATTCCCCTAAAATCCTCAATGGAAGCGGACTGCAATTCCTCCGCTTTCGACGACATCGTCGTCACAGCACTCCCATACAGCTCTCCATACAGGAATGTCTCCTCGTTGTCCACATCCTTTCCCCCAACCTCAAACCCTGCCATCAATCCTCCTGCAACAGCCGGCACCACCGCAGAAGAGGAGGAGGTGCCGTAGAGGAGCTGCTCCTCGTCGTCTCCATCTTCGAACCTCCGCCTCCTCTCCACCCCGACATCCTTGGAAGCCTCATACAAGGTCCCAGTCCCACCCCGTCCCACGTCCTCAGCATACAGATCCCCAAAATCGTCATCGTCATTCATGTCGACGCCCTCCAAAGACAACTTCCTCCACGCTAAACCAAACAAATGAATCAAACCACCAATCAACTCCGAAACCCTACACCATCGCTAACGCCCCCGGCACGCCAATAACCGCGAAAAAAATCAAAAAAATCAAAAATCTATTACACCACTAGGTCACAATCACCGGTCACGCAAAAAGACCACCTCGAAAGGGGGACAACATCTGCTCCATCCCAGTGCAGTCTACTATTTCTTGCGGAAGCGAGAAATCAAGCCAACGAGCCTCGCCATTGTTTACTCGTCAGTGTTCGCATCCCCCTTCACGAGGACGCCACTCCAGCTTCACTCTCCTGTGTCGCCTCCCCCTCTCTTCGCATCTCCTCCCCCCCATCCAAGACGACGACAACCCTCGGGAAGATGAAACTATTTCCTCATTCGTTATCTGAACGACAGTTGCGTCATTCATTCGTCATTTGTGGCATCCACAACTGAGCAAGAATAAAAATCTAGATTCTTCAATTTCATATCTACATTAAAAAATATGAGAAAGATAGATAATTATATATGTATATTGACGACTTTCATTAGCCTCGGCGTCTCGATTCCGTGAGTGACCAAATCCTACGTCACTTCTGGAGAATACGTGCTCAAGACAGCGTTCCCGGACAAAAGGCACTTGGGAACTTTTCTTGGGATTTTTTCGCAGCGAAGGCGTCGCACCATCACTGCCCATATTGTATTTGGAAGGAACATCGACGCCTCTTGCAAGCTTGTGGCAAAAGCCTAGTGAGCTGAAGGGGAGGAGAGGAAGAAAGGAAGGGTTGGCATCGGCAGGGGAGGGGAGGAGAGTAGAGGTCGAGCGACGTGAGTATACCAGACATCGCCTTGTCGCCCAAGGCGTGCTTCGCGATCGACGAAAGAATTCTACGCAGGATGTCCGGGACTCAGCGAGAGAGAAATAGAGAGAGCAAAAAGGTAGGATTCTATTCCTGTCATTGCATTTGCGCACTATTGCTTTCCATCTATCGCGCGGAGATGCTACATTCAAGCTGAGTATCGTTTGGTTAATCATTTCGCGTTTGTCCCCGTCGTGGAGTAGAAACGAATGCGGTGTTAAAATTTTGGAATGGAGGTCTCCCAGTCGATCGTGTAGGCAGCTGTATGTAGATCAATCGACGTTTAGGCGCTTACGGCATAGGTTTAGACGCTTTCAGCACTATCGCCGACATTGTGAGAACTGATGGTAGAGATTTCCATTCGGCACCTATGTGCATTATTCGAGGGCGATTCGGAGGCGAAACAGGCACATCAGCAATTAGTGTTACTTTACCGTTCATATAGAAATAATTTGAGATTCCTAGTGAAGGATTTTGATTTTCTTTGTATTCTTTTTTTCGTTGCTAACATTTACATGCATCTGCTAGTTTTTGTTAGGTCAACAGGCGAAGGTAGAGATAACAGCCGTGGTGACGAGCTCATATCGACAACAGTGTATGAGCAGTTGTTGTAGCTCTGTGTATGCAGATTCTGAAAATACTCAATTATGCTAGGGATAGTCTTGCAAGCGAAATGTGGATTCCGGAATGATTTCTTTGGAATCCTTTTTGTGGCTCCGGGATAGTGTCAACCCTATCAAGAAAACCTACAGCAGTTTGACCTGGATACTTGTTTCCAGCTTAGTGCTCACTGGTGAATCTTATTGTATATTTTTGCGAATCTACCTTTTTTTCTTTTTTTTACTCATTTGCGACAGCCGCGATCTTCTTAGATGTTCTCACTGGATGCAAATTTACACGAGGTAAGTGTCGCAGACGCATCTGAAAACGCAGATGCACTGGCTGTGGTTTAGTGGCGTGACTTCGTGATTGCACTTTGCCTATTTCTCAGTCCGAGGAAATTTGTAATTGATTAAATGTAGGTCCTATGGACTACGTTTCATTGTGGAATTGCTTTTGCAACGGACCACAAATGTCCAGGTGTAAGCTAAAGGCTATGGCCTGGTCTCTGCGTACGCCGATATGAATCAATTATGCTTATTGTGAAGGTAGTAGACGTATACAGGCACTGGATGTACAAAATTGAATGGCGATTGCCTCTTTGAGTCTGATTCTTACATCAAAGTATACTTACGCATGCTGTCTTGATCTTATAATTTTAGCACGAACTTAAACTCTAAAGCTTAGAACCCGGTTTGTGTGGACTTAACCCCAATGCCTAGTGTGTTTGTCATACGTCATGGACATAGTTTATAACGGGATTGAAGCAGATAGCATAGTATATCACTGCAGAAATTCTGCTGCATATTTTTTATAGAGCAATTAATTATCGATTAAGGATAGAGTTCAAATAATGCTTGCCATAGCTCTCTGTATTGTTAACCAGAAACATATCACATCGCAATTGAGATTTAGCTCTATTCCATAGGCTATCTACTTCTGTTTGTTTAGCGTTTGTACTTGTATCTATTCAAAAGTTCGCTAACATGCTCTGTGCCCTAATACTAGTTTTCTTTTGTTTTTGATCATAGGATCAATTCATGTAAGAATGTGAAGCGTACGCAAATTTTAGAGAAAGAAAAAGTAACTAGCTGCACTTACAATGGCAAAAACGAAGCGTAAGCAATTGGCAGCATTGGCAGGTCTGGATTTAACCTCCTCTGAGACACCGAAGAATATTGCAGGAGGACACCAGGACGGTCATTGTCCTGATAAAAATTCAGCTTCTCTTGAAGTTCGACAGCAGCGAATTATTTTTTGGATTCCTCCTTCAGATCCATCTCCGCGGCTGGCAAGCTCTAGGAGTTTTAGAGTTAGTGGCGCAGTTTCCAGGAAGCGGAAACGGTCCAACAATGATGGAGAAGAATATTCTTCTTCGGATGGTGAAGAAGGGCATGTATACCAAAAATACGCAAAGGTAGCCTTCGTTGAGAATCCTGGTTTTTCAGATAGCTGTGGAATCTATTAAATTTGGTGTACAAGCTTGTACATGTTGTACTTTTCTGACGATTCTGAACCAATATTGTTTTGTGAAACTCGTATACCATCTGAACTCTACAATCATTTGCTTTGTTACAGATTATTCTCAAACTTGATAAGCGTAACTTAGAGAAAGGCGTCGATGCCTTGCCTCCATCCAATGCATCCCCTCTTAATGCAGGGAGAGCATATCAGAGGAGGAAACCCGGTACTCGCATTTTGACTAAGGAAAAAATGCTATCTGCACTGACAGTCAACGACAACAGTCCTGCAAGCCCATCAGTGCAAGTGTGCAAGAAGACAACAGCCGAGGAGAAAGATGAGCATCTACCTGGAAGTCTCTCTGCCGATGTTGGGGAAAACGCAAATGGTTTTGCTTCAGGCGACACTATCGCTAGAGAATCATCCTCGTCTCAATATTCGAGGAGGCTCAGCTTGAGGACGAGGAAGCCTGTCTCATACAGCGACTTGGTATATGCCAAACCAGCGCCTCAGAAGTTGAGGAATGAGCAAGATGAGGCAATAACGAATAGGAAAATGATACTCAATCCCACGACGAAGTTCGTAATTGCCTCCGAGAAGGAAGCAGACCCTACTTTAGGAACGACGGGGACACAACAGATAACATCTCCCGCATCCAAGCGGCGGAAATCCAAATTGTTGAGAGACACTCGACCACAGCATGAAAAGACCTTAGTTAGAGCTGACGCACAAGTTACAGCACTTGAAGTTGCTGATAATAAACGAAAGTTACGATCGGTGGAAGAGATGACGAATGATATCTCAGAATCATTATCTGGTGGTGGCGTCAGAGGTGCCTCCGCAGAGTCTGCATCGAAAAAGGAAACCGCACCGAAAAAGAAGCCATCAAAATTTGCGAGAAGCATGACTGTAATAGGGATTGGGACAGAACAATCGCCAACAAATGATAGCCTAGAGTTAGCTCGTTTTGCTGACAGCCCAAGCCACCGGGAAGGAAAGACCGTGGCAGACAGGTCAACTTTGCCTTCTAAGATGATTAATAATGCATCTTCTCCAGTGGTGAAAGCGAAATTGCTGAGGAGATCGTCAGCCGCTCTTGAGAAGCAGGACGAACTGGCGCCATTGCACACATCAGTGTTGCGAATCAGGAAGAGAGTGCTAACGCCGGTCAAGGGGAAAAATAGTGCTTCCACTGCTTTGTTTACAAAGAAAATGAAAGCTTCGTCATTGGCTGCGTTGGATAATTGCAAGGCCACGATGGTTTCAGGGTTGGGGAGCGTGCCTAGTTCAACCGAGGCGCGCAGCAGTGAGAGTGGTGCTAGGGTGCCGTTGTTACATGGATCCACCAGGGATCATTTGATGCATCATCACCATGAGTCTGATGTTGTCACCAGTAGTAATAATGCAATGGCTCTCAATTCAAGAAGCAGGAGAATTAGCTTCCTAGGCAGGAACGCAGGTGGATTTATGGAAGAGGAGGATCCATTGAAGAGAGCATATTTGCAACGTTCTCTTATGTCCAAAGAATTCGCTCATTCTCATGCGAACAACGTAACTACGTCAGGTTCTAGGATTAGAGATCATGATAATGGTTGCAGCCGGTTGGGGGCCAGGGTTGCTTCTCATTCTTTCCGAAACCATGTGAACGGATATAATGTGAAAGGATTTAAAACCAACAGGCATTCGGTTGAATTGATCAAACAGCAATACAAGGTCTCGAGGGACTCAAAATCACGCCGTGGAGGCTTGGGATGTCGATTACTTTCATTGAAACCTTCCGGCTTCAAGAGGATTAACCCCTCTGTAGATCTGGCTGCCGTTATACGATCCAAGCTGGAGGAAGTTGGGGGCTTAACTGAGTGGCTCATCAGCGGGGGCTTGGGAGTGTTTGTTGATTTGTTCCAAGAGAGGAAGGTTCAAGAAAGAGATCTGTTGCATTTGACCATGGGCTCTCTGAAGGAGATCTCAGGAGTTCAGGCGGTAGGCCCTCGCAGGAAACTCATTTGGATGATTGAGCACCTTCTGTGATGCCCATATGCATCCATCAATTTCTACTCTTTATTAAAAGCGCTTCTAGCTTGTAACGGCTGACCATAATTCTGTACAAATATCTGTTTTGCTACCTGCAACAGTAGGTTAGGTACACATCACATGGGGTGTAACATGCAAACCTTGTTGCTCGTTGTTTAGAAATATATGTCTTGAGCTTCTCCCATTCCATGTTGTCAAACACCAGGCTTAGGAATGGATATGCGGGTGGCTCATAATCAGGTGCATCTTCTACCTATGAACTTTTGATGAATTCTTGTGCCTTGTCAGGATTTGTTGATGAGGTGTCTTATATCCAGCAGTTGTGTATGGTGTGTCAGGTGCAGTGCTCTAGGATAGTCAGTGTTTTACAGTAAAGACTGTTAAGAAGATATGGTAGTTAGCATCACATAACAGTATATCCTATAAAATAATCTGTTTAGAACGACTTGTTTTTTAAATTTAGCCCTTGGTAATTGAACACATTCGTAGAAGTTATAAACAGTTCATGTTCAGACATAAAAAATACATGTGTTTACCAAAATGATGCTAGTTTCAATAAAAAAAATCCAAAAAGCCTGCAATAATTTACTACAAATTGAGAAGATGTTATATTTGAGGTATCAGACCATTGTGATAAAAAAATTGTTAATGAAATTTTGTAAATGATCAGTTTGCAAGTACTCTCAGAATGATCAACTGCAAATGACAATTTTCATTATATGTTGTAACAAGAAAAGTTATACAATATTAATGCATGTTTAATTGTTACAGTTTGCACATATACATATACATAAATACAAGATAACTTTGCAGGCTTGGAATTGCAACAAAAGAACTTGAAAAGCACTTTCTACTTTGACTCATATAACACTTTGAAATTTTGTACTAACAAAAAAACTGATATAATATTTTTGAAGACTTCATAAACCTTTGCCCATTTATTCTTTTTTTTTTTTTTTTTTTTTTTTTACAAACAACTTATTTTGTGTAGGGACTTTTGTCTTAACAAAACCAGACTTTACATTATGTGGTAATTCTTATCATTATTTTCAACCCTCTACATTTGATCATCTTTATTTCTTATTAAGATGATCAAATCATTTATATATAAAAATTAACTAATAATAATTTCATAAATTACACATTTATTTATTTATCAAAACAAAAAAATATGTCAACGAATTGGTATTGTGCCCTTGTTAACTCTTTGAGGCCATATATGTGTTTTTAGAACATGTAAATAAGATGACCTTTGTTGTTTTGTATAAATCCATTCAATTAGTTTATGTAGATTTCTTCTTTCAATTTTCTATCCGAAAGAGTTTTTTTCACATCTATTTGATGTATTTTTAAATGCATTTTTTTGTAGTTGTTATTATAGTTGTCATAGTAGAGATTTAGCAAAAAATATAAATGTCTTATTGTAACATACACCTTACACTAGAAAATACACTTTAACAAGCAATTTTGTTATATATCTTAGAATCTAGTACATTGTATTTTTTTTGGTACAAAACACTTACACATGATTAATTGTCAAGGACAATACACTCTTGTATCATCAAAAAAAAGAAAGTTAAGAAATAAGAAATGAATATAAAATAAAAATAAATAAAAATAAATAAAATAAAAACTAAAGAAAAAAAAATAAAATAACTATTGCCAATCACAAAGATAATATAAAGTCTTCAATCAAGACTAAGATATAAGAAAGGTATTTACAAGACTTTAAATGGACTTATTTTTTCTTTTATATATACTATTTATAAAGAAAGTCTTTTGGAAGCTTTCTAAGAACCACAAGGCTTGTGGTCCAAGTATCAAGTTATAAGTTGTTATCAACGCAACTTTCTAAAGACAAGAAACTTATAGAATAAGTTGTAATAAGCACATGGTTTATCTATAAGAATCTAAATATCTAATCCACATCTAAAAAACATCCTTAAAACTTTTTAGATAAATAATATTCTATTATTTATAAAGAATTCAAATCCTTCTATAGTTTTATTTTACTTAATTATGTTTGCAAAAAAAATCATTTATATAATGTCTATAAATCAACAAATAAAGCTACATTGTTAAAATTTTAATTTCTTTATTATTATTATTATTATTATTATTATTATCTCTTTATAATATTTTACTCTTCTACCTATTTTCAAGTGCTCACTATTCACTTACATAATAATTATGCCTACTAGGACTCATGTCTTCTTTGTGCACAAATTTTGTATGTTGTGTCTTCTTTCTAATGCATTTGTTAGTCTATAGAAGTGATATGCTATTATTATCTACAATATTGTAATCTTGATTTTTGTGTCAATTTATTATTATTATTATTTACTAAGTAATAAATAAATAAGTACAATTTTATTATTTTATAAAATATTTAAATAAAATTTTGAATATTGATAATACTTATATGCTTCAAAACCTTGATATTTTAAGATTTAATTATTTTCTTAACTTTTAATTTTATATATTTATATATATATATATATATATGTATATATATATATATATATGTATATATATATATATATGTATATATATAGCTTTAAATCTTAATTCATATACAACATCTAAGAAACATACACTTGATACTTTTTGTACCAAATTTTAAATTAATTTAATTTAATGTCTTTGAATAACTATTACATCTAAAGTCTATATACATAATTTATGGTTTTTTACCTTTTTATTAGATAGAATTGATGCAAAAAGAAATAAGATGATACATGTATTGATATATTTTAGATAAAAATTTAAATAATATAACATACTTGGTAGCATCCAAATCAATAATGGCTAGGATGTAAGACTATAGAATTTATTTATTTTTGTTATAATTAAATATTATCTCCATATTATTACCTTATATTATTATGATATATTTCTTTAGCTTTTTATTTTTATTTTTTAATATAATATAGTCAAAATTTATATAAATAAAAAAATCTCACATTAGATAGTCTATTAGAATTATTTTTTTGCTTTAATAATAAAGTAGATTAAAATATTAATTTTGAAGTTTTCTTTTTTTTCAATTAGTTACTTATTGCTCATTTATTAAGTGTGTTATCTTTTAAAAAAACCCAAAAAATTGTCTTAGAATACCAAATGGTTACTTTTTCTTGCAAACATTCTTAATAATTGCTACATGGCTTTGATAATCACAACATTTTTTTAATGATAAGTTTTTTAAAATTTTGAAATACTTAACAAAGTTTAAAGGCAGTACAAAATCTTTAAAAGATCCATCAAGATTTAAAAAGATTACTAACATTCTTAAATCTTTGGTTACTATATCAGTAATTTAAAAATACATTGAATAGTTTGTTCTCATCATGTACTAATTATTTTTAATGAGATGTGCAAAAAAACATATGTATCACATACAATGATTATTTCAAGCAGTTATACTAATAGAACCTCTTGTTCTTTAAACTACACAAGTACATAATATTAAGTTTATCCAATGATAAATAATCATCTTTTAAGAAAAACTAAACCTTCTTTGACAAAATTGAACTCCAAAGACATTTAAAACTTAAAGATTGTACTCTTGAATTTCAAAACCCACAAACAAGTATGTGATTTATGTTTCAACAAAATGCAATTACAAAAATAATATTTTGTGTTTTTAAATCTTAGCATATATAGGTCTATATGATGTTAAAGAAACATGATAGTATGAGGTAAAAGTAACATAAATCAAACCAAAATATATATGAGAAAATATATAAAGTATGATAATTTCTATTTTTTTAACATCTTTTTTTACAAATACATAAGACAAATAAATATGAATGATTTTTTAAACACAAGATGTTCTTACAGTAGTGTTTGTAAAGTTATAGCTTCTACAAATCTTAGCCATCATCTAAATTCTAGCCATTGTTTAGTTTTTTTTGTGATTAGCAATTATTTTCATTTGATTTTATGTAATATATCTTAAAGATATTTCTAAGATTAGTATGCATTATTAGGATTAGTATGTATTATTAATAATTTAAATTTAATAATACATACTAATCCTTATCATTATCTTACATATGTATTTTTGTAGATTTATACATACAAAAATTAAGTATAATCTTTAAATTTATTTTATTTTATATCATGTATATCTTTATAAAAATATTTTTAAAATAATAATATAAATATATCAAAAAAAAAACTATAATTAAGAAAAAAATAATATAATTTCTCATTGATTTAAAGCATTAATATTATAACCATGTTTCAAAACTACCATAGAAGTAACTATGAGAAAAATAAAATATTTTATTGTTAATTATTTTATATGTATATATATATTTGAGAATGTTAAATAGATCCAGGTTTTTACTAAATTAAACTACTCATGATGAAGAATATGGTAATTATAATGAATGTAGTTGGTTTTCATTGATTTTGGATCTAGTAATAGAAAAATGAATCTAGATGTCATTTTTTTTTTCATGATAGTTAGAATAGATGAGTCAATTTAGTAAAGGACTAGGTCTATTCAACATTCCCTTATATGTATATGTATATATATATAATAAAATGTATAATATATTAATAATCTATCTTCTTTTTATTAGTACTATAAGTATTACAATAGTTGTTTGTTGTATAAAACGTTGTGTAAAATGTTTTGTGAATAAAGTATTATTATTATAAAAATTAATAAAAATATATAATATTTATATTAAGGTTACTAAATTTGATCTTTGATGTTAGATATTATTGTACAAATAAAAAATAACTATGAAAATTATACATGAAATTAAGTATAATAAATATTTTTATTATTTTAGAATATATTAGATATGTAAGATAATAATATAAGTTTTTCAAAAATAAAATAAGTATTTTTATTATAATAAAATTTGGATGTTTATTAAGACAATTTATTAGCAAACTAACAAAAAAAAAAGTTTTATTGTCTCAATTAAGTTTATTATCAATATAAATGTTTCAAAAGAGATTGGTACTTTTTAATTTTAAAATTGGTGACTAATTGATTTTTTATAATTTTTTTTATATGTGTGTTGCACACATGATATTGAACCAAACTTTGAAAAAAAACAAAATGAATATAATAGAAGATAATGCATACAATTATTCTAAAGAGTATAAAATGACTATTGTACTTACAAAAATGAAAATAGAAAAAGTTTTACAACTAATAAAGAAAGTTAATAAATAATTTGTTTGCATCTATTTGTTATAAATTATAACTTTTAGTATATCACAGCTTAATGAAAAGAAAAATGACTTAATATTGATTGTAGTGCATCACAATAAATGAGAGAAAACAAAGTAAACATCCAAGAAAATTTTCTATTTTGTATTTATACTGCCTTAAAAAACTCTTACAATTGATGAATAAACAATTCTACAAAGCAAACTTTGCACATGTCCCAAGTATGCTTATAAGAAGTTAATTTTGTTAACTTGAAAGGTGAATGAGCAGAGAATCTTAATACCATTAAAGTTGTTGATCCATTTTCGATAACTTAAGCATTTCAACATATATGCAGTAAGTGTAAAAATGAAAGAAAAATATCCCCATATAGGGTAATAGATATCAAGAAGATTCCAAGTGGTTTCACACAATTTGGCCCAAAAACAGAATTCATATAAATGTTTTAGCTAAAGATACTCTATGACCCAAATCTGACACATAGACAAACCTAACTCCAATTGGTGGTGGGTTACAAAATTGAAAATCTTGCTTTCTCATAATCAAGAATTATGGCACCTAATTATGCTATCAAGCTTCACATAATTTTGTGCTACCTATGGATGTTAATATGTGGATGAGGTAACCAAAATTCAACCAGCTTATGCTGAACTTGAATTCCACCCCAACCAATAAAATACCACCTAAATTGAAACACAGCCACTTTATCTTGCAACATTTTTCCATGATCAAAAACAATGTAAACTTAAACCCAACCATAAGAGTGTCAAAACTGGTCTCATGAAAAGTGTACGAAATTTGTGTTCTACTTGACTTATTCTCATTAGAACTGACAGCAATTGCCTGAATTTCAGGTGTGATTGGAAATTATTAAGTAACATCGCCAATACGGAGTTTTCCGTGTTACGCTATTGCTTTCACCTCGTGCAACTACTATCAATCTTGCAATTCGCATGTAGTGATCGATCGCAACGACGGCTTGTTGTCCCTTATGAACAGGTCTTTGCATGCAATTCAATCAAGGACAAATAACTTGCAAAAACCCAAATTCTACTTCGTACTTAAGGTATTCAGTTCTGTAGCGTTATTTGACAATATATACTCAACAACCAAGATTTTTACTGATATTTTGTAATCATGAAGCTAAATATGAACGAGGATGTCAAATATCTACCAGAAAAATCAATTGCTTAATTCCATTAGCTTAAATCTAAAATGCACCATACATTATCAAGTAAGCACATGAGACCATTTATCGAAGAAGATATAAAAGCTACGAAAACAATCCGTTTAGATGGTTAAGCAAAGGAGCACAGAATTGATTTTTACATTCGATTCCAATGAAAATGACATTCGCAGTTCTCTGCTCTACAACTCTTCCTTTCCTACATGAGGCTTGTGAGCAAATTCCTCCTCCTCCTTTGGCATATGGATGGTAACCACATCTGGAAGGGGAGTCATAGGTCCTTGCTTGCCCTTCGGGTCCCAGTCAAGCATGATTTTAACCTTGATGCCCAACACTCCCTGCAAAAACATACATCCAAAACCTGAGATTCGTAGTAAAAAACTAATAAACGAGCCTTCCGAATGAAATCACAATAATTGAAGAAACTCAGTGAACGGTTGAGACTAACAAGATTAAAAAGCTGTCAAGAATACCTGTCGCAACATGACGTGTCTTACAGCACTATCAATGTAGTCGTTGACAGGGCTTCCAGATGATATCATGTATCCGTCCTTGAACTTCATGGACTTTGCACGAGCTGCACGAAGCTTTCCACTCACTATCACCTGTGACCGCCACCCACAAACTAATTAGACAAAGATGAATCTACATACAATATCCTGCAATCTTCCAGATGTAACAGTGAAGCAGTGCTAAAGCTCAATTGCAATGTTCAGATTCAGACGTGAGACCGCGAGTTAAATGCAATCTTATAAACGCATGTAAGGCGGTTGCTCATACAACGCAAACCACCTTTCTTCGAGATTTTATAATGAGAGTAAATACAGCATGACATATGTAGTTGATATTTCGCAAAAATACATTCATACGACTGTCCACTAGGTCCATCAGTTAAACAAAACGTTTCAATGGCTCAAACTACATCCAGTAGAGGTTACCATACCTCACAACCCTTGGCACCGCTCTCCATGATGAACCTCAGCACTCCATAGCAAGCCCTAAAAAACCGCAGGTTCAAGAACTTATAGTATCCCTTTTTTCCAATTTGGCTAAAACAATTCATACATTCAATTACCATTTAATTGAATAAATTTAATTGCCATTTAAAAGTATATTTTGTGTAGAAGCACAAACCTGCGTACAGCAAGACCTCCGAGAAGCTTGTATCGAAGAGACTCAGCTTGCGCAATAGCGCACAGACCACGGTTGTTCACCTTCTCAGCGTACAACTCCACTGTGCCCTCAGGAAACTGGAACCGTTTCTGAACCACGGAAGTCAATTCCCTGATCCTGCGTCCCTTCTCACCTGCAGACAACACGCCCTACCTTAATCCTCTGAACTCATACGATAAAAAATTCCGCCTAAAAGCCCTGATCTTTCTTCGTTCTAGAACACGACGTCACCGATGAACTTGACAGAGCTGGTTACCTACCCAAAACATTCTGTGTGCGGGTAGCGCGGATGATGATCTCGGTCCGCATGGGAGTGACGCGCACTTCCACTCCAGAATAGCCATCTTCGGCGAGCTCGCGGGTGAGAAGCTCATTGAGCTCGGCGAAGAAAACACCGTCTGCTACAAACTGTGAGAAAAGAGATAAAACAAACATGAGTGCTGTGATCTACTCGAAATGTGCCCTAGTGAGTTTTCAGCAAAAAAAACAATTAAAAATCATTTAAAAAAAAAAACAGCCAAAGTCTCAAAAACTTGTTCACAAGCGAAGAATTCCACCTTCCGCTTCTTGCTCATCTGAGTTGCCATGTTGAAAGAGAGGTTCGCACCGCCTAAACTGCAAAAATTCGAGGCTACAGAAGAGCTGGGGCGACGAAGCGCGAGCGCGAGCGCGAAAAGAATTACACCCTAGTCTGTCGCAGGTTTAACACGCAGAACCCGTACCTTGGAACCCTAATCGTCCGATTGATACCCGGTAATCAAGCAGGGTCTTCAATACCTAGCTGCACGAATCCGGTTCTCAGTCGGATAAATAGTCCGGTTGTCCTGCAGAACCATGCTTTCAATGTTTTTGTTGGAGTTGATGTTTTCTATTTGTACATTCTAAAGGAAGTTATGTTTAATTGATTCATGTCAACTTGACACGTATTAGTTTTTCAGTAGACTGTATTGAATTTTTTACCTATTTGAAAAAAAGATTGTGGATTCTATTTATTCGAATTTATTTATGCAAAATCATTGGAAGTAATTACACACAAACACACATACACACACACACATTTATATATATTACTCATCAAATAACTGTGAAAAATAATCATATATTGTATTTCATACACAAAGCAAGCTGAGGAATATACAGACTTATTGGAAGAGTCAATTTCTTAATATTTTATATTTTTTGTACAAAATATAACCCCCCCAAAAAAAAAAAAAAAAAAAAAAAAAACGATATCTAAAACCCACATAATTATTTTTGAGAAAGCTAGATAGTACCTAACGTGTTGTTTTCATATTATTTAACAACATTGCATCTGTATAAAAATACTTTGATACATCAAAATAGCCAACTATATGTATGTAGATATATATATATATATATATATATAGGTACATGCACACGTCTAGAATTTTATTACATCGAATACTTATACTTCTAATGGTATAATTACAGAATGAGTTACTTCGTGAAAATTCATACGAAAAGTTTTTTTTTTTTTTTTTGTTTTTTTGGGTAAAAAGTGACTTCAGGCTTTTTTGTATAAGCTCTAAATCGGCATGTGAGTTTGAATAGTATTTGTATTGAATACATGCATTCTTTTCACAACTTGCAATCACAATCTACATTTCCTTTTAATCATTTATTTTCACTGTAAGATATCATCATGAAATGAGATTTGTGCAAATTACACAAAATAGTTACATTCTTTTCAATTGCTTGATTTACTTCATCTTAAAAATTTCAGCAAAGAGAAATAACTCAACAAAGGTAGAAAAAATTATGTTAATGGTGATTATATATACGTATATGTGTTTAGGTGTACATGTTTATTTATCTGTGGAAAGAAACATGTTTTCATTTTCATTGTTTCATTCCATCAGAAATATACCCAATAGTTTACTTTGTATCCACTTCTACCAAATCAATCATCGACAATTTGTGAACATCATTCAGTTTATCTAGTTACTTTACATAATTTTAACATTATCACAAGTCAAAATTAACACAATTAAAAGGCAAATACAACACAACAAAATATAATTGGATTTCATTATACAAAGGCAAATTTGTCTCTTTTAAGATATTGGTGGCAAGTTCCTCTATATTGATGTTTTCGTAATGTTTTGAAATTTCATCTAATTCCACGTCTTCATTCCTACTAATCCATCTTATATCAAACTTATATTTTAACATATCTGAAATATTAACAAAAATAAAATAATGTCTCACACCTGTATATTGGAGAAGGGATCTATCCATCTATCTATAGACACTTGAGAGAGAAATACATAAATGTACACACATATAAACAACCAAACTACACAATCAACTATGAATGAGTCCTATCAAACCTGCACATTGCAATTAATTTCAGACATGTTTTAACGACGCATGAGCTTCTTTCGAATCTTCTTATCGGCATTACGTTTTCACCATGAATTCTTGCTAGCTAAGAGTAGAACTGCCTCCTGCATGAACAAGGGGATAGTAGGCGACGCGTTGGAAACCAAATCAATCCACAGAGAAGTCCACCACAGCTCTCGCTCTCCCTTCCTCACTGGACGACGGTACGATCATGATGGCCTCCAATAATCCTCTTGGAGATGGAATTGGGAGTCACGAACCAGCTCAGCAATATCGTCAACAAGCTCCAAGTTGCATTAGGGGGGACAACTGGACCAGAGAGCTCAGGATGCCTGCATTGACAATGACTGTGTCCACCCTCTCTGGAACATCGTCATCATTAGCATTGTAAGTGCAGTATGGTTACGCAACGAGATTGTGAGACTGGGCTCAACAATGGGCATCGCAATCACCCTCGAACTCGTATAAAATAGCTGTTCAAAAGTACAGCTGCTACTTTCCAATTTGAAAGGTAATTATTGAGCTGGTCTGACAAAAGTCGTCTCACCCCTACCTACCAATTTACAGAGGGCAAGCGGACTTCCTGCTGGAGGACTTGAACCCTAGAGTAGAGATTCTGATATCTCCTTCCATTCACACCCACATAACTGGGATATCTATATCTATATATATGTATATATATAGATGATACATATATATATAGATATATATATATAGATATATATATATAGATATATATATATAGTGCAAACTAAGGTTTATGATTATCACCAAGCTGGCACCTCCAAAGCTTTGCTCCGATTGCTTTCGCAGCGAGGCTGCAAGTCTCTAATTTCATGGGACCTCATACCACATTGTTGACAGTTTCTAGGCAGTGGCTCTAGCTTATAAAGTTATTGAGGAAGGGGATGGCCTCATGCATTAGAGACACTTCCAAGGGGATGAATTTCAATCTATAGTATTCCGTACATATCAACCTGAGTCTCCTGTCTACGATCTAAACAATCAGCACACCATTCTGGGCCTGACCTGCATTTTCAGCTTCAGTTTGTTGTTCCACGTCCTTTCAGCACATAATTACGCAATCCAGGAATATGGATATTATAGAGGTAATCTGCCCAGTCGATTTGTCGAACATTGAAAGCAAACGATTCGAGTTCTTCCTCGGACAGCTCCTTCAACAGAGATTCAGTGTTCTCTATTCCGAACCTGGATAAAACACGCAAGGATAACTCTCAATTAAACAGGTTGAACTCTTTACAGCCTTCATAAGGGCAAACTGTAATTGCACATTACGAGGGCTCAAGGGCGGTAAATCTCATGTTCTCCATCATGAAATCTGAAAACCATCGTTAAGTGTGTCTTGGCAAGTACGAAGGTATCGGTCCAATATGCATGCCTTTTTGAGAGTTTTAAAAACCTTTCTTTCAAGAGAAACGAATAACGAAAAACAATTATCTATATATATATATATATATATATATATCTCAGTTAATACGAGGATGAATCTAAAATATTCATACTATGAGGAGATGAATCCGATAACCTCTAGCATATAATTCATTATAATTTATCCTGTTATCCTACAACGAATTACCTAACTTAATCTTAAAAGGCAGAACGATGATTGAATTCTTATCATTTACTTTAGTACATATGTTACACATAGGAAAATCAAAATAACTGGTGAATGATTACGAAGTTCAATTTCTTTCACTTTATAATTCTTGTTTGTCATTCACGGTGAATAATCACAATTCATCTAGCGGTTGGACTCACTCATAACATACAGGATGACAGTTGCTACTGCAGAGAGTCCACTAAGTCCATGAGCTCATCGTAGACTCTATTGACGCTAGTGCATGTTGTAAACACTACAAAAGAGACCGTAAACTATAGAAAAATAGAATAGCATATCAAGTGTGAAAGAACAGCACATACCTGCCAGAATAGAACGTATAAGGTTTGTAAATATATGCTAAGTACTTAAATTGCTCAAGTGTTTTTTTAACAATGAGTTCCTGCCTTGCAAATGACTTCCCCTTTCTCTGCCAAGGAAACAGCTTTGACAGCTGCACGAGAGCAAAGGTTTATTAAGTTTTGTAACATAGGTCTCTCTATATATAAAATACACAGTCGATCACAACAGAATACAAAGAGGGTCTAATGCTGCATTAAATTGTCGTAAAGTGCCATTCCTTCATTCAAATTTACAACACATTATGAGACCCAAGTCGGAGAATCTCATTCAGAACATTCGCAAAAGCCTTCCAAACTGACTCAGGGCTTTCGGGTGTTAGACCAGCACCAACACTACACACGCTTGCCAGTCTGAAAAAACACAGGTTGTACATGCAGGGCGTACCTTCAGAGGTAGCTGATAGACAAACCACAAGTAAAGGTTAAATGCAGTCATGCTTTGCACAAAATTCATTCGCTGAACTCTTATCGGTTGGCCATTTTTGTCCATCATGGGATCTTTTGTAAACAGCTCCAGTGATACATCTGCCAAAATGTTGAAACTCATAGGATTCACCACAGACGATGCCACTTGATACACTTTAAGTCGTGGTGTTTGAGCATGTTTCGTCATGGCTGCCAAAAGGGCATTGACAACTAAGTCGGCTGGGATCTGTTCAAACATATTACAATTTCTTAAAATGGGGTGATGAAGTAGATTGAGCTAACATACTTCAAAGGACATATTGAGGCCGTCCAAATATGCTCAGCACCTAAAATATACAGGTACACTAACTCTCCATTGATCTCACAACAATCTCATGACAAAATTCTTGCAGCAAAGATATTTAATACATTTCAAAACTGTACGAGTCATGCAATGAGATACTAACCACGTCCAATACCCCTCGAGGATCTGCAAGGAACCCAGTCATCTGACCTTTCGCATAAGCCACCACAATAGGATCCATCATTCTGCAGACAGGAGTCAAGTTGTTAAAATATCCGTTTAAATTCGATTAGTGTGCTATTTATTTTCAAAAATTGTTACTCTTTCTCTCCAAGATCTGGACTTACCGAAGTCCTTCCATCCAACCGGGAAAAGGTTGAGAGAGCGTGCTCTCCACCACACTAGGTCGTAAGACAACCACTGGCATATTACCACGTAGAGATTCAACCAGCATTTCACCCATAGCCTTTGAGAAGACATATGTATCTTGCCACCCAAAAAGTTTAGCTCTGCAAGAGATTGCCAAGGTAGGGACTTTAGCACGAGACCCTGATGAAAACTTGTGATGATCCACGTCTTGGATCATGTCGGGGAGCAAATCATCAGCACACACATTTAACTGAACCAATAGTGCGGGTGCCAGATGTATTTTCAAAATTTCTGAAGAAATTTACCTAGTCATGCCCAACTCTTTCATTTTTTTGCCCACAACTTGCAGCTTCTTGTCCGCTGATAAGTTAGTTAGGCTCACTTCAGCCGTCGCATCTTGTAACGTTTTCGCACAGAGCTCAAGCTCGGCTGCAACGTTGAGCTCTGGAATGCGGTCATGGGACATCTCCTTGGCGATGCTGTCACCCATCTTAAAAGGCTTCTCAGGAGTGGCGCCCTGCCTTTGGCCGTTAACGAACGCTGCAATTAGGAGATGAATGAACAGAACATTAAACTTCCCCTAACCCAAGCCCACAACGATGCGAAGAAGTAGATGAAACAGATTTTTTTAGGCTGCCAATGTGCTTCAAAAATGACAATATTAAGTGGAATGTTGAATTTATGGAAAACATCTGATTGTAGAATTTCCGGTAGCACAGTGTCGGAAACTTCCAGTCAGTGAAATTTATAGATCAGATGCACAAGTGGATTGAGGACATCACATCTTCTTTATTTAGAAGACCGCGTACAAATCAATTGAATGGATTTGCCTTACCAGTGGAGATGTGGAGGAAGAGTTGCAAATTGGGGCAGCCCCTTGCGAATTCGATGATGCGTCGAGGACCCTGTGTGTTGACGTTCAGTGCGATATCGTACCTGCGGATGACAATGATCATATTTATGAATAAATTAACATGGATGGGACTGATGCTTAAGACACAAATTGCAGAATTTGAAAGAACCAGACGGTTCACAAGTTATCAAGTCTGAAACTATGCACATAACAAGTGTCTTAGAATAATCCACCTGATGATAGCACCGTTTCTACTACACGCAGAGCGGACACCAAATATCAATGGCAAGACACCGACCTGATGTTGGAAGTTTTCCCTTCTTTACCTCTCATCGAAAGTGGTTATCGCTGCTGAATTTACTATAACTTGTACTTGTTTGGAAATATCCTCCGACACAATATTTTCGATCCCAAGACCGTCAGTGGAAATGGTGCCGCTGACTGCGGTAAGCTTTTTATTCATAAATTCCTCGTAGTCATCTCCGTAGATCTGCTTGAGCACTTTAAACAGCGGAGAATTGATAACCTACAAATTGTTCCCAAAATTGTGTTAAATTGACATTCTTGGAAACTCTGAGTTATAAACTCCACAAGAACTACAATTCACACAAGTGCTAGGGCAGGCATTTCACTTATTCCGTTGAAGCGCTACTAATGAATTGTATTGAACTATTATTTGGTCCATATTTCTTAATTCCTTCGCATAGACACCCGTGTGTACTCAAGGACTAGACCAAGGACTCCTCTATGCGTCTGTGGCGATCATCACGATTCATTGCTGTTGTGGTTTCACTTGGCTAAGTGAAAATTACATCAGGACCGAATCCGAGATGATATTTTTTTCATTTTTTCATTTTTTTTAATCCCATATCCACCTAATTTTAAATGAAATCAGCTTGATATAACCATTAACGGAGGACATGCGCAAGCGAAGAGAGCACACTTACATTATTCTTGAGTCTCTCCTCGACTGTGACGTCTTTCTGTGGTTGGATGAGCAGGTACAGTTGTCCAACGTCGGGTTGGACTCTCAAAATCTTCTCCACCATGACTGTATGCAAAGAATGATGGAGTCCGTGAGCAGAGAGACAAGTGGCTTGTCATGAGCTATACTTCGGGTGAAGCAACACCAAAAAAATGACAAGAGAAAGATCGTGTGATTCTAGCGGAGCCAAGCTTTCGCGTGGAAGACTCTGATACATAATTGAGCAGAAAGGAGAATTAGATACGAGAATTAGTACCCTTTGCCAAGAATCCCGTTGCTCCTGTAACAAGGAGATTTTTCCCCTTCAGAAATTCCACTATGCCCAGTCCACCACCAGCTCCAGCATCCCTGAATTTCTCGACTGCAGCATTGCCCACGCGCTGACCTACATCATTTGCGACGGTAGCTGTGGTTTCCGGCTTAACGGGCGTCAAACCCAAAGCTAGCACCAATGGATCCTCTAATTGGTGGACGCGATCCACCGCAGCTTCGTTGTCAACCTGTTCCGAAGGCGCGTTCAAGGGAGCTTGAACAAGCCTCTCCAATTCTGGAACCTTGGTAACGGAATTGTCAGCAGAGGTAGTCTTGGAGTATTCATTAAGAGTTCCATTCTTCGACAAATGTTTTACGGAACTACCATTTAAAAGCGTTCCATAGGTAGAACGTACGTTGACCGCGTCCCCCTGTCCAGCACAAATTGAATCACCGTTCCCCACAGAACCGTTGGTTGATCCATTAAGTGGCGAAACACCAGAGAAGGTCGCACGTCCATTCGCGGAGTCAGTTCGTGAAGTTTTTCTCACAGTGCTCCCATTTGTCGATCCTTTTCTAGAGACTCCATGGACAGAAGTGTACACCACTGGACAGCTTGCGTCACCAGAAAACGTGTGGCAAACCTCATTTGCCACGTCACCATTCACTGCATCTCCCTTGTCAACGTCTTTCGAATCAATGGGGAATCCGTTTAAATTGCTACGGTGACCATCATTCGCAGCCATTTCCACAGGGACTTTTCTAACATCAGTGTTACTCTTATTGGGAAGAGAATCCTCAACACCTGCCGTACCTTCACTGTGAAAATCGAGGCTCCAAAGCTGACCTCCTCTCTTAATCGATTTCAGGCGCTTCAATGAGATTGTCTTAGTTTTGCATGCCAGATGTTGGCGTCCGAGTTCACCTGCTAAGCGGCATTCTGAGATCCTTGTCTTAACCGAGTTCAAGTGATGCGAAAGGGTCGAGCTGCAATTCATAACTGACACAGGAGCTTTCCACGCTGCTTCCATTTAGAGGAATGTATTACTCCTTCACTGAATTATAATTTTACCTTTTTAGAGACCTGTCCAGTTAATCACTCGAAAATCTCTTGTGAGCGTGCACCAACTACCATCAACCTATCATCCACAAGACCGTAAATAGACAATGCGTGGCAGTGCGAAATTGTACCGCTGCCTTTAAGTGCATGCAATTGCCTCTATAAGTGTGCACCAGCGCTGAGCAAGAACTAGACCTCCTAATTTGAGAAATCCACTTAGAATATGGAAACGAAAGTGGCAAATAGCTGGAACTTCTACAACAATCCCAGAGGCTGAATATTTCTATGTGCCAACGCTGACGGTCGTTGAGGCTCTACAGATCGGAAAAGGTCTAGGATGCTGGCAGCTTAACCTCCACATGCTCAGCTCGTACCTGTTCATACACCAACCTGAGTGAATGTCATTCGCGTGTTCTTTCCAACATTGACGACATTAATCTAACTCTAACTTTCACCAGCTTGGTACCTCAACTCAGATAATACCTTCTCTCGCTTACCTGCAGCGCATTTCACGCCAGCCCGTCTATAAATTGCAAACCACAACCCCTACTCAGTACAATCACTCCGATACACATAAGAATCTAAACATTGACCACTAGATTACCACAACCATCAGTTAACATGCAGCTTTTTCGAGGTCACCACGAACCAGGGAGCCACTTTCTGTATCCCTCGTCTTACAGAACTATACTCGCAGTCTCAGGAATCTCTGTCTCTCCCTATCTCTCTTACTACCCTATCCTTCACACCAATGCCACACACTCACACTGGTACTCATCATCTGCACTTCTTTTCGACTGAGGCGGGCAACAAACAGCTCAAAGCTAAACCGGGCCAGTGCTACTATTTCCTAACAACTCTTCAGGTGCTCGATGTCCACCTCAACAAGCCGCCGTTCCACTCACAGTCCCCCTCTCCCACTCTCTCGCTCATGTCTGGATCCAAATTTACCTTTCCTCCACCCGAACTAACAACCAGCAACATCAACATGCAGCAAACGCCCGAGTCTCTCCAGCTGCTTCCAACAACTAGCTCTGCGGCACACCCTCGCTGACAATAGATAGCATCACTTCACTACTCAAAAATCAAGCACTCGGAAATGCAGGGCCTCCTCGGTTGTTGGTGCTAGTTATGGTGGTAGTTGCAGCAGCAGACGCAAATGGCGTGGCAACGGCAGGCTGAGCGGACGACAACAGACCCGAGGGGTTCTGTGCAAGCAGACGACCAGGGCAGAGGGTGTGAATACACAATTCAATGCGTCGAGCGCGAGCTGCAAAGTTTCATGATAAATCCAGGCGAGGACCATCCAATGCCATCGCTCCCGCTATTGGCATTGGCATTTGAAGCCACGGCGGGATAGTTGTTTCCCCAGTCCCAGCTCTCCCTTTCAGTGCCCACTTTCCAGCGGCTTCATCACTCCTTACCCACCTACCAACCTGCCTCGGTCGCTCCCCCGACCCATCACCGTGCCTTCTACCGCCTGTACCCATCGCCGTATCTTCTCAGAGTAAACATAATGGTGCCATGCATCACATGATGCCCAGTGAGAGTGCGCAGGAGGCAGGGACTGAGGGACTGGGGGGGGGGGGGGGGGACTTAATTAGCCGCCAGTTGAAGAAGGACCCTTGAAGTTAGATTCATCCATTTGGGGGAAGCTCATGCACTAATAGATCGTTGAGGCACGACTAACCTCTCTCTGACAATTCCCCCCATCCCTCCCTCAAGACCCGCCAACCTTCATCCCTCCCCCAAGTCCCCCCCTCCGTAAAAGATCTGCTCTCCCTTTCTTTCTTTCCCGACTTCGATCCATCCTTTCCTACTCTTGCTCTTCCTCCGTTTCTTTTCCTTCCTTTACCTTTTCTTTTCCCCATCTTCCTCCTTCATGACCGCGGGATTTTCTAAACCTAAGTTCCTATTTCTATTTCCTTTGTCTTTTCCTTGCAAAGTTGTGCTCACTTTTTGGGTTTAATTTTGAGTTTATTTTTTGGGGGGGTTTTTTCGTAAAACATGTATGATTATTTAGCATTGATTTATACATTTGTTTTTTTAATGGACTATTGTAGTGTTTTCACATTGTGTTTTTGTTCTTACCAAAGGTTTACTAATAAATTTGTTTAGAAGAGATTAAGTTTAAATTCTTGTAACATTGATTTTTATTTCTTATTATATAATAATGCTTAGATTTTACAACATTGGCTCTAATATTGTGGTATAATTAGATTTATACTTGGTAAAATAGAAATTTTATTATAATTTATATTTAGAAACATTCTATTTGTTAAGATGATTTTACAAATGCAATATTTTTCTAATTTTGTTGTGTAATTTGTAATTTATCTTTTTTTCAAATCTTGTTTAAATTTTTCTTCACTATTTGATCAAAATACTATAAAAACATACTTTAAACATCTTTATTCAGTATGAACACTATTTTATTTTATTTTTTGACAAATTCTTATGGAATTAATATTAAAAAATCATGAAAATTTGATCAAAAAATAGAGATGATAGTCCAAAGTTGAACCATATTAACTAATAGCAAACCGTTTTCAAGAAGTTTTTTGTAAGTAAAAGTCAAGGATGTTGTTGAAAACCAAGGTTGGTAATAGTCCATCTTGTAGGTAGAAATAGTGCATACTCTTATCCCTCATTCTTTGAATCTTTGGTAGATGTGAAAGCGAACATCAGTCATTTATTAAAATATGATACTAAGCCATAACTCTTTTATTTCTTTTACCAACTTGGTGTTTATTTTTTTATTTTTTATTTTTGCAAAAGAAGGAATTGAGACTTAGTTATTTTTCCTTAATTGGCATACTAGATGACGTAATTAGTTGCCTATCCAAACTCCAATGTTCTAGAATGGCTCAAAAATGGGTTTCAACCTTTTATTTATTCATTTATTTATTTTTGTATAAGTGTGAAAAGTGTTTTGTTCAAAATCCAAGTTTCATATGTACCAAAAGCTCACTCAAAACAGTGTAAAGAAAACATTATCCATTTGAATAATTTTTTCAAACTGCTTTCTTTACAAATCAATCAAACAATCAAGTGTTCTATCACATCTCATTAATTTCTTTTTATTTTTGTGAAAAAATCCCACAATAATAAGTAATATTTTACTTTTACTTCTATGGATTTTCATAAAAGTACCCAACCTCTTACAAAGTCTATTGGATTTTAGTTAGTAATAAAAATGTTTCTAAAGGGATTATTCTGGTGTTACCATTCTTATCCTAAAAGTTGTTGTTGTTGTTGTTTTGTTTTGTTTTTTTTTTTTTTTTGAGATTTGTTATGCGTGTTGATTGCTGGAGTAGTTATGATTAGGTCATACAATTAAATGCTGAAATTGTAATGTATTATATATGAGTAAAATTTATCCACCTATACTGAAACTATACTTATAATTTGATGTTTTGGAATGCATGATACAAGAAATTAAAATTGATTGTTGATTGTGTATCTATTTTAAGAAAAAGGTAGTATATATAGAATCACTGGTCTGTAATAGTTATTGATATTTTGGTGAAAATACTTGGTAATGTTACAATATTTGAGGATTTACTACTGATAACTTCCATATTTATAAGCCGAAGGGGGTGGTTGTACTCACACAGAAGTGTCTTGAGACTTAATTGGCATTAAATAATGCTCATGAGAAGATTTCCTTGTATTCCTATTATTACTTCAGCAATGAAAATATTTTTTTAATTATAAAATCATATTTAAAACTAGATTGCATTCAATAATGGTGACAGGGTGTTCATTCAACATAACACAAAATTGGCAAAGTTTGCCTTTGATATCCTACTTATAGTATCATAGATGTACTTGTTTACACATTTTTTGATTATATTTTATTCTTCAAAAAAAATTGTATGTATGTTTGTATATATATATATAGATATATGCTTCTTTTTTTTTTCATCACAAACTTTAAATCACCTAAATGCAAACTTGTTTTTTATGCAACTTTTTCATTTTAGATAGATCAGCAACAACAAATTTAATAATATCAAAATTTATTTTAAAGATTTTTTATAAAATTACAATAAAATGCCACATATTAAGAAACACTGAGTTGGTTATAAAAAATAAAAAATAAAAAATAAAATCTGGTGTCAATGTATGAAAAAACCAAAACATCACTCAAAATATCACTCAAAGTATCTTCTTGAAAAGAAAGCCTCACATGCACATTTCAGAAGCAGAAAGAGAAAAAAACAAAGAACCAAGATACAGAATAACACATTCCAAAATGAAAATGCACACAATCATGTGCATTCACACACACACACACACACTAAAAGGAATGTGAAATAAGCATGACTGATTGATGAATGAGGTACCAAGGGGATATGGAATGATAGAGATAGATGGCCAAAGGATATCCAACACCATACAAGGCTTATGGATTGAGGACAATCCTTCCTTCCATTTCCTTTCAACTCCCTGCGACACCCGCTCATCATGCTTCCCTGTTTTGTCAATGGTGCCAGAGAGCCATCAGCCCAGTGCACTTTCACGGCCACCCCCAATCCCCACCCCCCTTTCCACTTCTATTGAAAATCTCTTTCCACACCATGGCACTCTCGCTCCCCACACCCCAAGCCGTTCAATTTTAGTGGGTGCCAGCAGGGCAGTCTGTGAAGTGGGGTTGTGCCTACTGGGCAGCAACAAGTGGGCACATCAAAATCCGTGCACTCTATTGAGTTTTGTGCGTGGGAATCCAACATAGGATACTTGAAAGCCAAGAGAAGGAGGAGTGGAGGGTGCATATTGATGGGAGGGTCAAGAAATCCTCTACCCTGCTGACTGCCCCAACTACCCTAAAGGTCCTAGTTTTTGAAGCATGTCGGCTATGTCCATTGTTTTGCTTTTTGGTGTTGTTGCTGTTGAGATGTCTATTCATTTGTGTACGTGCATGTGTATATGTGCTACATGTATTTGTAAGTTCAAGCATATGTGTATTATAGGTATTTGTATAAGTGTATTATGTATATATTATAAGTGTATTAGATGTATGTATATACATGTGTTACATGCATATGTATAAGTGTGTTATGTGTATGTGTATATGTATGTACAAATATGTATTGTGCACAGAAAATTTGATGTCTTGGAGTTTAGTTGAATATGGGTGAATGAAAGTGTATAAATAAATAAAATAAGTTTTTGTGTAAATTTTTTTGTATGTAAATATGCGTAGATAAAAAATTGGGTGCTTTTAATTGGGAAATATATATATATATCTATATATATATATATATATATATATATATATATTATTGTATTTGTATATGTAAATGTTTTATATTGTTTAAGAAATTGGTATTTAAAGTTATAAAACTAAATTTTTAATTTCATTTGGTTAACCATTATTCACTATGAAATTAAAATTTTACCTTAAAAAAGTATATAAATTAACTTGCTCCTCATTACATACCTATATTTGACTTATTTATATTTTTTAAAGAATACACTCATTCATTTAACAATCTAAATATGCTTGGTAGTGTTTGTGCTTCAGTATCTGCCATTGATAATCACCTTCAAGATTTACAAAATAACATTAAAAATATTTTGATTATAGTGATACAAAAGATAATAATATTAGAAATTAATTTTAAGTTATTTAAATAAGTTTACATTTATCAAGATTTCAATCAGTTTTATATGCATATGACTATTATGGGCGAGAATAAAGAACATTAGAATTTAAATGTTTGCTTTAATATAATTTTTGACACACTTTTAAAATTCTTAATGCTTGCGATAAAATAAATATAAAATTTCACTGAATAAAAAATTCTTGTAATTTAAAAAAAAAAAAAATACATGGTAATAATATTACTTTGAAACAAGACTAATATTTAGGTATATTTTAAATTCCTTATGTGTTTGTAGAACTATACTATACATATTTTGATTGAATTTTTTAATGATAAAATATATATTTATTTGTTTTAGACGAAATTAAGTTTCTAGCAGTAATATATATATATATATATATATATATATATAAAAGATATTTTTTCATAAAGTTGGCACAATCTAAATTAAAGCAAATGATTTAATATGAGTTATATTGAGTTGCTCACACACAAAAAAGAAAAAGAAAAAGGAAAATAATAATGTCAAGAGAAATATTTGATTCAAAATAATCAATTGTGAATATAATCAAGACATTCTTAACACAATGGAATTATTTGAAAAATAGATGTGGTAACATGAGAAGATAGTGGTAGAGTTAAGAAGGCTTTTAAACTTCAATGCTTGTTTTTATATAATATTGATAGTTAAGCATACGATTATATTTCTTGCAGCTTTTATATTTATATTGATATTACTTAAAAAATATATATTATATTTAAAAAAAATCTATATTTTATACATTTATTTGAAAATTTGTTTGATTTGATTATACTAATAAAAAAATCTACTATGTACATGTACAACAGATTGTTTGAATGTTAGTAAAATATAGTTATTTTGCAATAATTGTGTAGATGCATAAATTTGTTTGTATGATATTTGAAAAGTAAAGGTAATGTTAAGTTGATATGACATATTCACACATTGTACTTCACTAATAATTTTTATACAATAAAAATACTAATAAATTATTTGATTTATTGAATGATTTATATTTATATTTTTTGAAAATAATAAAAATTATATTTTATGTTTTTAATATATATATATATATATATATATTTATTTATTTTAGAAATACATTATAATATTAAAGTTTTTTTTTTGTTTTTTTTCTTGTTTTATAAATTTTGTACTTTTATATGTGTTTTGGTTATTACAATAATGTACACACTTCCAAAATAAAATTTGCTTGTATAATTAATAATAAATTAGATATATTAAATTATTATTATTATTATTATTTTTATGAAAGTTGAAATATTTCAATTGCATTAATAATAGATCTGTATTTTTATTTTTAAATAGTAGAAGTTATTTGATCTTAAGTGTATTTTTGAATTACATATATTATTTATGGTATTAATTGTTTCATTTTTTATCATAAATAATAAAACTTCTATATTTTATAAAACATGTTTATTACAAATAAAAAAAACTTTCTAAATTCTTAAATATATTATTTAGGCTCAAGTAGCATCAACAATCTATTACTTACTATATTTCAAAGTACTTATAAAAACAATCAAGTAATCTTAAGAAACAACTACTTGTGTTGCTATCACTTATTTTATATATTTATTATTTTTTGTTTCTATAGATTTTTGTTTGATTATATGCACATGTAGACACACGCACAACTTTCAAGTAATCAAAATAATATGGAATTGTTTTAAGCACTAGAGACAAGCATGGAATGCATTAGCACTACTACTTGGGATGGATGGACTAAGTAGTACTTGAAAAATCCCTTTCATTCTTTCACATTTTTCCAAATGATACCCACCAAGTTTTTTTTCCCTCCTCCTCATCCTTCCCACTCATGTCATAATAGACCTCTCACTAATAGACCAGAAAAAGATGGTATCCCCACTTAGAACCTCAAACTCTACAACCCCAAAGGACTACCACGCACAGGGCTCCCGTTCACACCTGCCAGCCCGGAATTGGATATATCTCTGTGCACGTTCGCGCTACTGGGGTCCCGTTCATACAGCAGGGAGAAAAACAAAAAACACACACATACACTCTCGCGAAGGTTTATTACAATTTTGCAGTCTGCGAGCTCGTGCCGTCGCCATAGCCAGTTTCTCGCCATGGCTTTGTGGATGTCGAAGCTCTGCGGTCGTGAAGCCCGTGCACTGGAGCAGGGGATCCTGTTTTCGTCGTCGCTTGCTGCAGCGCGTTGGTGCGTGCGTCGGGGGTTTATTTATTTACTTATTATAGCCAGCAGCTAATGGATAGTCATGTGGGATTTGAGGGTTTGAGGCAATTTGCTATTCTTACCAGAATTAGGGATTCGCATTTGATGCTCGAGCTGGGAGGGGGATGTCGGTGACGATTGTTGGCGGGGTCGGTCGGTCGATCATCTGGAGGAGCGCTCAAACGGGACCGTTGCAGGTGGAGAGAAATCTTGTGGTCGCGATCGACGCGTTGGAATTAGGATTATCACTAGTTTTGTTGGCTCCGGAAGGTACGAATTAGATGGAGCAGAAGGGCGGCATTACTGATATGATTTTATTTTACTTTATTTTTGAGGATGTGTGATTTTCTTACGCAATGTGGTGAGTTTGGAGGTTGAATGTGATCAGCTGTTTTTTTGAATTTATGTTATGGTTAGAGTGCATGATATCTGGACGGACTCCCCCTTGATTCACATCGCCATTTGCAGACGAAATGAGAGAAGTCTTGCTTGACGTTGAACAATGTCGATATTCTGTCCAGATGACACTGCTGAATCATGTTCTCACTGGAATGCCGTCAACTAAGCGGATCGCTGTCATCGAGAATCCGTCGTTTAGTAAGGTATTAACTGTAAATTTCTCATTCCGGCGGGTTTGATTTTGCTCTGGATCAACTCTGGTTCAATCGAGTAGCCTACGTTTGATTCACCAATTACATTGTTTCTTGTTTCATCATTTGTTGTCTTCTGAAGTTATTCTTCTATGTTGCCACTGTATTTCCGAAGCCTCTCGTTGATGAAGCCATGTTAGAGAGTACCTTATGGCTCGAGCATTATCATGTTACATTGGTGTTGAGGCAGACAGACATTTATGGCCCTCTTGAAGGTTCAAGTATCAAATGCTAGTCGTTCAATGTCATGGCTTTGGTCAACCTCAATTTACCAACGGCTTTAAACTGTCGACCAATGTTGTGACATTGATCATAGCCTTCGATTTTAGCGTCTCCAACAACTCTGCGACATGCTGTTACAATGAACTGTTACAGCAGTTTGAACGTAATCTGATATAGTGATATCAAAGTACCACATTTGATCCTTTATTGGTTTTCAGATGGAGTCACCTTCTTCAGGACAAGGTGGACAAGTCTGATCATATCATCATTGAGACTACCGCTAAGCGAAACTCTTGATCACTATTTTGCTAGCCTTTCAATCGAAGGACTCAAAACCGCCGAACCTTTCCCGTGTGTGTGGTCTGACATTCAGCATGCAGTCTTGGAGTTTGCAGATTGAAACATCTGTTTTCTGCATAATTTTCCCATGTGTAAAGTAACAACTAATTCTGATTAAAAGCTGTTGTTGCTGAGCCCCAACCTCTAACATATTGAACAGCGAAGCGCATAAAAAATTTCGTTTCCTTCCTTTGCCGAAGCAGGACCAAAGAAGTGCTCGGTGATGTTCTTCGTCCTGCTACATATCTTGTTTTAACGGTGGAATGGTGAATAATGTGAGAAAAGAAAGCTTTATAATGTTCGTGTTCAGGGCTTGCAAATTTCGCCTCAATCATTTAAACGTTTTACTTTGACGGTAATCTTAAGAATCCATAATCAATAACAGGTATCCTAGGTGGATTGGGTTTTAGAGTTTCTTGCTAAGTTGATTGTGGAGTTCTGATTTAAGGTTAAGTTTGGTTGGAGATTGTTTCAGTAACTGCAATATTGATATCCTAGGACGATTCCATTTTGAATTGAGCTTTGTGCATACTTGTTACCTACTTGTTCTTCCCTGAGTCGTGTATTTGGTAACAGATCTATCTTGCGAAAGTAGCTGATGTGGAGGTAATGATGTGTCAGATAATGGTAAGTAGCTTTAGTTCGTGCTTTCATGTCATCATGTTGGTGAACTTAGTGTGACGTACGAGTTATGTCACGGTGTTGTCACCTACACATGTATGTCATAGTGGGATGTTTTGGGGCTTGGTCACTAAACGTTTTTCGAAGCTTTTTGTGCAAATTTTACAAATACGCATTTAGGATTGTCACAAATTCAATGTTTCAGAAGAATTTATTCAGTTAGAATTTGTGACAATCCTAAATGCGTATTTGTAAAATTTGCATTTTTATAAGAATACACTGAACGGACATTATTAATGTGTAAATTATGATCCAGGAAGACCTGCTATTGTTTATGGATCCTTAAGATAAATTTAGAGCGGATGTATAGGGTCCTTTATGTTTTAGCGTTAAACTTGTGCCATCGTAGATCTTTGAGTTATCGCCTGGGTAATATCTCACTGGATATGATACATTTGGGGGTCCTAATTCTTGCAGCGGATGAACAGGCTGGCTCAATTGCGCATGGCGAGGTTGGCGAAGGTGGACTTGGACCAAATTATAAGAGTTGGTGGGGGGTTTGATCTGGAAAGGTTTGTGCATGGTTACAGAGATGTAGAAATGTACGATGAATGGAAGCGATCCTTTCGATTGATTTGCACTGTCACACTGTGGATGCCTTAGGGGTGTGACACCGATACTAGGTTTTAGCAGTCTGTCGCAGAATGGATTGAAGGCTTTGCAGATTTGTTTTTGTTGTGAGAGAAACCCCAGCATCCTCATAAATGGGAGTAGTTGTGTTTGTTAAGTGGGATAGTAAACGCTTTGTTTTTCTCCGTTGCAGAGTGGAAGACCACGGAATGCATGGCACGGGAAGTTCTGGACTTGAGTACAATGAGGCATGTGCTGACTATGGTAATTACATAATGCAGTGAGACACTCAGGTATTAGAAATGAGTTAATCTTACGCATTCATTAAGACTTAGGGATACGGTTGTGCCAATCGTAAAATTCTATCAGCTGGTAATGTACACACATCCTTAACGAAGTTTTGGGTAGATTTCTGGAAAGTCGGATGTAGTAACTTTGTCCTTCGTAGTTGACCGTACCGACCCTTACAATAATGTGAGTGTAGGATTTACAATTTATTCCCAGGTTCGCTATCGTGAAGGATAAATGTACTTTTGCACCGTACAACCATAATTACCATGTCCACGTTCCTGAACTTTCCTCTGTTGCGGTAGTATGTGATGGTGCTCTTGATCCCAACAAGGTATTGGTGTGGTTTAACTCTAGAAATCATTGCAACTCTTGTTCCTCTTCTTTATGGTTGTCTCTTGTCTTTAATTCTTCTGAAACATTCTAATAGCCATTTGCCTGTTGAGACTGGTCGTTGAATTCTCAGATGAATAGTTGGTCAGAGACCCTAATATATGAGCATAATGAAGACATTTATCAGGCAAAAGGTGTTCGGTTGATTGATGTCTTGGATGTAAAATCATTATCTCAGGTATGCATTCAGGTTCAAGGAAAAAACCCAGCGATTTTTCTCTTATGCTTATTGAGTGCCTGTGTTGATAGTCACATGTTTTCTTTCATAGATAAATAGTTTTTTGATCCTTAGTTTTTTGAGATATATTTGCGATGTGAGTGGTCCAATAGACTTAAAATCTTAGTTGAGCTTTCAAAACTTCAATTATGAATCCAAATTTGGGATCATCATGTGTTGTGTGTTTGATGGATTATGCCATCTGCTGCACAGTGCATTACAAATGAAAACGCAGTTGATAGGTTTGCGGACCTAGTGCAGTATTTACTGAGAGATTATTCAGCATAATTGTTGGCAATGTTTAGCGAGTAGTGATGTTTTAGTCTTCCGGTTTGATTCGTTTTTACTCTTTCTCTGACGATTTGGGGTTTAATTTGTGAGGCACCTTTTCACGAATGATGACTTAATTAACAATTTTGGTCGGATACTTTTCCTGGGTCCTCAATCTTTGCTCGAAGGTGGTCTGGGACGGAACTGGGATCGTGATGAGAAATGAGTGAATAAGGTAACATTTATTGGGACGCAATTTTAGGAATACTTCCAGGAGTGCTTCATTCGTGCCGAAGCGTAGTGTACCAGATTTTGCCGATGTTTGCAATTAAGTGAGTGGGCAACGCAGACCATTCTCTGCATTTTGACGGTCTGAAATGTACTTTCAGGTTGTGCACAGCCGATCGTAAAATTAATAATGTGAGATACCATGAACGCATGACGTGTATCAGAGGGCCTGACCCAATAGGACGAGTCATTATACTTGTCTGCTCAAGCAACAGCATCCTTTTGTTTTTAACTGGCAATTCAGAAATTTTTGCTCTTCTGAATCTCTGATAGGACTCTTTTTTTCTATATATATATATATATATATATATATATATATTTTGATGATGTCTGAGGGTTAGAGCTTCCCGTCTTTATTTTCACAAATAGAGCGTTGGGAAGGTCAGAAGCTTGTCCTGATCAGAAGTAGTTTATTGCCATGCCAAGGAATCCATACCAAGAATCCACACATAGTGGATGGATTAATTATATGAATCTTAACAATTAATAATAGCCTTGCCTCTTGTTAGCAATGTGCCCCACAGTGTTGTTTATGGAATTACAAAGGCAGTATTACATACTATTTAGTATTTGAACCGCATGACTGAAATATATATTTTCCCAATTAGCCAACATCAACAATGGAAGATTGCAAGATGTAATGCGGTATATGTCGTATGTTGTGACATGCTCTTCGCGTAACAATTTGTTTATTCAGTACGTTTCAACTATTTATCTTTCAGCCATGTACCGATTTACCAAATCAATAATAGAATCAATTAAAGAGGTTTAGGGTTTTTAGGTTTAGAGTTTAGGGCTGAGGGTTTAGGGTGTACGATCACAGTACAGCTCTACATTTATAGCGAGATAGCGGAGTTGACGCGACCTCGACGAGACTTGGTCTCTGTGTTTTGGTGCAACCCGTAGCACACCCCCGCCTAAATTCTGCCGATTCTCGATGGTGTCGCAAGAAATGGAGGAGCTGACGCAGGGAATTCATAATGACAGGTAGGATTCCTCCTGCGGTGGCCTGCATTGGGCATCAGATCTGACGCTGCGAGCTACCGACGAATGCAGGAAAATAAGCTGGAGGAGGTGTTCGCCATGGCCACTCTCCGGCATCTCAACTTCCTCCGCAACCGCGACTCAAACTCTAGTTGATATCCCGTAGATACGTACATATACCCTTCAAACACCCGGTGTAACCAATGTCGGGTATCACCCTCAAGCTCGCCGAGCCCCTTGCGGAGTTGTCGTCCTCATTAAGTTTTAAGCGCCGGAGTCCATACCCTCTTGATATCTGGTGAATTAATGCATATAACCTGTGTATACCCGATGGAGCGAGGGTGGGGTAGTCTCCGCAATCTCACTTGGCCCATCGCCTAGTGTTGTTGTTGTGTTGGAGTTTGAGACTCAGGAGCTCTCGGCGATTCGTCCCGATTTAATCTGCTGCTGCTGTTGTTGTTGCGCCGCACCGGAGCTATCCCGAATTGGTGCGTTGCAGGGTCATTCCATCGTTATTCCTTGTGTTTGTCCGACAGTCTTGCGTTGCCGCTTCGTCTGTCTCTATGCGTGCTTCTAGGAGTCTTTGGAGGATCAGGGGTGACTATCAGGGGGAGGCAGGCTAATCAGGAGTGGAGTTTTTATTTTTATTTATTTATTTATTTTTTATAGGGATGTTTGTTTTGTTGTGGAATGTGAGTGAATTTTTCAGAGATAGGAAGGAGTTGACCTTGTGTAGGAGGGAGATGCAGTGTCGTAGTTCTGTAATTTGCGTTCTTTTATTTTATGCAACATGCCGATTGCTGCAGATGAGAATGAGTTGGTAGTGTGCAAGATCATGTCGAAGAGATGTCAGCAGATTAGTGAACTGTGATCCGTGCGTGGTGACTGACTTAGATTGGGGGAGGCTGAGGTTGTGGTTACGCTTTGCGGTTGGAAATGCTCAAACCCTAGTATCCGTGCTTGATCCCTAATGTACTCTCCAGTAGGGGCTCTACTACGTATTTTTATCGATAATAGTGACATTTTCTGGTTTTTTCAAATGGCGCGTTCTAGGTGGAGATAGAAATGAGTGCTGATAGTATGCTTTGGGCGTCTGTAGCAGGGATTGCCTCTCCTTCATTTTCAAACTGAAAAGCTCCACAACCTTTTCAGCTTGATTTCATTTTTTCCGCATTTGATGTTCGCGTTTTACGGGTGTGTGTGCAAATGGAAATGCATCACGCTGTGGCGTTCCTGTATTGAGCCATGGGATTTGTTGCTTCAGTCAATGAGTACGATGTCGCCTTATTAATTCTTCTAACAAATTCTGTAGTGGATACATGCTGAAGGACGTAAGCTTTTCGGCAGCAAATGAAGTGATGTTGCTGCTGCTGCTACTTTTAAGCTTCAATAGCCTTTTTTTCTCCACAACCATGTGAAGAAGATAAACATAGAAGTTGACAGCAAAAATCCGCGGCATTCAGAGATTCAAAGATGTGTGGGAGGCAGATGTTGCGACAGTGCCTCCTGCTGGTGGTTCTTGTGTCTTCTCTTGTGCTAGTTTGCGAAAGCAGTGATGGTGACGAGCGCCCTAGTTACAGGTGATTCTTTGCTTCCCTCCCAGCTTCGGGTGTCGGTTTTATGTCAGTTTTTTATGTGTTTTTTACAGGTTACTGGGACCAAGATACGTACACAGAGTGTTGATCCAACTTTGTAGAGAAGGAGCCCAGTCTTTTTAAGATTGTCTTGTCTTATCATATCATATCATCCTAAGTTTTATTTGCCAACTTTCTAGGGGCTATTTTTTCTGTTAATACATATTTTCATCTTAAAAACTCGGCGATCAGATACGTTTTTTAATGGGAAATAAAAAACCAATGGAAAAGATATTAACTGTATTTTTAATTTTGTTGAGGGACGAGTCTTGTACTAGTTTCTGAACGAAGAATGCTGATTTTGCGGGATCGAATGGCCACTGCCCTGCAGGGAATGCGTAAAAGTCTGTGAACAGACTGGGTGTGTCGATGGACAGTGCTACAACAGCTGCAACTTCCCTGTGAACGTCGACTTGGAGGGTAACATTCTTCCTAAAAAGGCTCAGCTCAATTCCCCCCATGAGAAGTTCCTTGAGGAACCATTGTACCTACGATGGAAGAAGTGGGACTGCATCAGTGAATGCCGCTACCAATGCATGCTTCGTGAAGAAGCAGGTTCAGAATTTCCGGTCAAGTATCACGGCAAATGGCCATTTGTTCGCATATTTAGCTTGCAGGTCTGTATTTTCAATTTATGCTTTTTTCGATCACCTAATCGAATTGACAATTATTATTATTCCGTCAATGTACAGCTGTGAACTCTAGCAGTCAATAATCTTTCCAGCACATTG